AAGGTTTTTTCCCCCAAGTTAAGAAAAGAGGCGGACGTGTTTCCTAAATCCTGCATCAGTCCAAGCAAGGCAGCTTCTTTCTGTTTTTATTCCGTTAGTAGCCATTAGCACTGTGCATTGTTGTGTGCGTCAGTGATATTCTGCCTACGAGGAAATCGTGCTATGACAAAGGTTCCACCATGCTTGAAATGCAAGCTGCGATTAAATGAGTTCATTTTCTACGCGTTATTTTTTTCTAATTAATTAATCGTAATTAACGCGTTAAAGTCCCGGCCCTAACACACACACACACACACACACACACACACACACACACACACATATATATATATATATATATATATATATATATATATATATATATATATATATATATATATATATATATATATAACTTCCTTGTTATGGTAGATAAATACGTTAAAATAATCATTTAAAAAACAACTTTTTCATAGTAAAAAAGCAGAAATAAATGGAGACTTTTTTTATTATTCTGGTTGAAACGATGTAAATAAAGTTATTCTGAATTTGATTAATTTCTTGCCTTGTTGGTAAATAAGAGCTCTGCTTGTTTATTAATCTTAAGAACCTACAGCTGGTTTTATTTAAATTGAGCAAAACATAAAAATTTAAAAACATTCCATAAATCACATTCTGAGTTATTAATAATAATAATAGTAGTAGTAAAATATTAATAATAGTAAAATAACAATAATATAAATAATATTAATAATTATTCTTATATTAAAATAAATAATATTAATAAAATTAATAATAATAATTTGATGAATTTCTTTCCTTGTATTGTGCTGTTTGAATGCTGGTTGCTTGGTTACCATTCTAACAAACAGCAACAATAAATGAATCCACTATTGTTGCTTCTATTTGTGCTTTTATCTTTGGCACAAATTTGTTGAATTTTTGTACTCTTGAAAGTTTTTCTCTAAACATCTTTAATCTGTGGTCAACAGGAACGTCTGGATTAGATCAATTAAGATTAAATCAGAGGCAATCAACACAAACCTCCTCCTGATGGGTCTCAGTGACCTCAAACTGGGTTCAGGCTCTGAGAGCAGAGGGAGAGCTGCTGGGTCCCAGAGGATTCAGAGAGGGAACATATTGTGGGATTAGAGTGAGATTGGGTCGAGAGGACGAGAAAAGCCGTGGAACGATGACAAATACTTCTCTTTATGGTGCAGATTTTAAAATCACTAATCCTGATCTGTCTTCTGTTTTCCAGACTAACAAGGCTTCGGCTCAGGGAGATTTTCAGGGGGCCAACGCAGCCTCTCGCCAGGCTCTGTGGCTCTCTGTGCTCTCCATCATGTTCGGAATCATCACCTACATCTGCGCCATTGCCGCCTTGATCTCATACCTGTCTGCAAAACCTCCATAAGTCCAGCTCCTCCCACACAAACGGGATCATCCGCACATAAAACATCTGTAAAATATTCCCAGTCAGACTCCATTGTTCATGGTCAGCTGAGAGGAAGACAGAAGCTTCCAGTCGCTTCACTCTGAGCTGCAGCAGCCGTTCTTTATAAGGAAAACAGAAAATGTGTTAGTTTTCTCCATCCTGCCGGAAGCAGAGACCTAAACAATATGGTGGAGATGAGGTCCTCCATAGATCCCAGATTTCCTGCAAAAATCCCAGAAAACTCATAGATCCCAAAAATCCTGCAGTGATCCCAAAAACCTTCCAGAGATTCAAGAACCCCTGCAGTTCCCAGGATTTCTCCAGAGATCCCAGAACTCCTTCAGATGTCCCAGAAATTCTCTAGAGATCCTAGAACTCCTCCAGAGATCCCAGAAATCCTGCAAAGATTCCAGATCTTCTGTAGAAATCCTAGAAATCTTTGAAAGAGGCCAGAAATCCTGCAAAGATCCCAGAGCTCCTGAAGAGTTCCCAGGAATCCTCCAGAGATCCCAGAACTCCTTCAGATGTCCCAGAAATTCTCTAGAGATCCTAGAACTCCTCCAGAGATCCCAGAAATCCTGCAGATTCCAGATCTTCTGTAGAAATCCTAGAAATCTTTGAGAGAGCCCAGAAATCCTGCAAAGATCCCAGAGCTCCTGAAGAGTTCCCAGGAATACTCAAGAGATCCCAGAACCCCTGCAGAGTTCCCAGGAATCCTCCAGAGATCCCAGAACCCCTGCAGTTCCCAGGAATCCTCCAGAGATCCCAGAACCCCTGCAGAGTTCCCAAGAATCCTCCAGAGATCCCAGAACCCCTGCAGAGTTCCCAGGAATCCTCCAGAGATCCCAGAACCCCTGCAGTGCTCTCAGAAATCATCCAGAAATCTCTGAATTTTTACAGAGTTCCCAGAAATTCTGCAGAGATCCCAAATAAATCCCTGAACTCCTGCAGTTTCCAAATCTCCTCCAGAGATCCCAGAACTCTTCCGTAAGTTTCCTCTCGTCTCACAGCCAGCATCAGCTCATGTCTACCTGCAGAGAGGACTGCCTCTCACGTGTTTTCTTGCCTCCTGTCAGAAGAAAGTGCCATAATATCTAAAATAATTCAGCAATATTTCTAAATAAAAATGTTACTTTTGAGAACATTTAGGTGGTTTTTAGCTGCAGATCTAAAGTGCCAAAATAAGATGTTCAAACGAGTCATTTTCCTTCTGAAGAGATATTTGAAAAGCGAACCTGGTGGCTTCTGTGGAACGAGAACAACCTTCATAAATGCGTAAAACTCAAGGCTGAACTTCAGACGAGCAGAACAACAAGGCAAAACAGCAGAAACACAAAAGATGGATAAAAGAAGCGATCGAGGTAAGGAGACGTGGATGCGGGACCATGAACAGGGACGATGGGGTTTACTCGTTGGGACTGCATCGTCGCAGAGGGGAGAGCGGGCAGCAGAGGGCGACAACGTCCTCTGCTGCCCGCGGATAAACGACGTAGGAAGTGACGCCACCATCGGCGTCAGCTCTGACAAAGTTTGCAGCCGCAAACGAAACGCTGCAGGTAAATAAAACCTTTCTGTTTTTAAAAGAACGGAAAGATGGAACGTTTTAGTAAGGATGCTACGCAACGTTTGATCAACGAGACCCCCGGTCCAGAAAAGAGAACCCAGTTCTGTTTTCATAGCCGACTACAAATAACTGGCTTTGTCATACGAAGGCGGAGGACATCTTGTTCTCGTCAGATGATTCAGCTCCACTGTGCCTGCACGTCTTCAACATCCTACAGAAACAAACCTTGTTGCGTCGTGGGACAAATAAAAGATTCCTGTCGCTCTGGTTTCCATCCACCCTAACCCGAAGGCGTTTCCATCGAGTCAGTCAGACGGAGGTTCGGTCACTCTCAAGTGTGAATATTTGAATTAAATCAATAAATCCTAATGAATGCACTTAAATGAAAAGATTTTCCTCTCTTTTTATTTGAAAATAATTAATAAAAACTGAATATTTATGCTTTCTATTAAAAGAAGACTTGGAAGGGGGGGGGGGAATCAGAGGTTTTTGGAGTAGCGCCGTCTCACGGAGTCTCTGTAGAACTGGAAGACCTTCTCCGATGCTTTCTGGCTGACGGCTACACATTCCTGCAGCTGTGGACGAACGGAAAGACAAACGACGGAGTCAGAGGAACGAACAGGAAGCCGTAAAGGAATTAGAAACACAAACACACACAGCCCGCTTCATCGCTCACCTCCTGGACCGAAAATGAACCTTTGGTCGATGACATCATCACTCTTCGTTCTGTGCTGTCGATGGCGAAAGTCATCAACGCTCGACTTTCCTTACGGAAGAAAAAACAAAAGGTCAGCATTAGCCTGCGCTGTTACCATTAGCAACCAGCTGGAGGCCCAGAACTACCAAATGAGCTGTTTGAGTCACACTAAACACTTTGTGTATTTCCTAAAATATCTTAAAGAGCAAGTCAACCCCTACCAGAATCTAACTCCACTCCCACTTCATGTTTGAAAAATGCAACAAATGCTGTTGCCTGGCAGACCAAGGGGGCGGAGCTGCTAACAAATACACACACACAGACATTGTGACATCATAATCTACCAGTTTACATCATAGCATACCTCTTAGCCAATAGTGGTGGAAGATTTAAATTAGAATACAATGCAGAGTTTTTACCTGACAACGGCACAACACTGCCAGTTTTAGGCAGAATATTTAAATTTTAACTAAGATGCACTGAAGTGACAAATTATTGACGGCACGTGTCTGCAGCACGATTAGACACTCGTTTCTTTAGTTTATCAGCAAAAAAAAAGGTTATTTGGGGTGACTTGCTCTTTAAAGAGCAAGTCACCCCCAAATCAGCTTGTTTTTCTGATAAACTATATAAACGCGTGTCTAATCGTGCTGCAGACACGTGTCATCAACAGTTTTGCACTTTTATGCATTTTAGTAAAAATTGAAATATTCTGTCTAAAACTGTCAGTGTTGTGCCGTTGTCAGGTAAAAACTCTGCACTGCAGTTGAATTTAAATCTGCCGTCGCTATTGGCTAAGAGGTACCCTGGAACGTTAGCTGGTACCATATGATGTCACAATGTCGTTGTGAGCCTGTGTGTGTGTATGTTTTGTATGGTAGGGGGTGACTTGCTCTTTAACTTGTTTGTGATTTATCCTCGTTATTGTTGCTTGGATGCTCTCTTTTCGGTCTCCAGTCGGTCACAACGTGCCTTCTCAGGTCTTTTCTCAGGTTCCTCCCAAAGTTGTCTCACATTTCAAACAGAAACTAAACAGAATCCTTCCAGGACACCCACAAAGACCCAGAGACCCAGGTGCGAAGCCCTGCGACTCAGGAGGAAGCTAAGAACCTCTCGCAAACATTTTGAGATATTTTGGAAACTCCCTGGGAAATGTAGTCGTGGCCCAGAGAGAAACTCTGCAGGTGAAGTAAGTAAAGGTCAGCACCCACAGGTTTTTAACCACGGATGGATGTGTGGTCTGCTGAAATGATGTCGACTGCACCGGGGTCGTCTGTGCCGAATTCCTGGGAGCTGTTTTTCTACAGGCTCGTCTTCATCAGAGCTTCGCATCAATTAAAACCTGAAAAGAACTAAAGGAGTCTCAGTATTTGCTTCAAATTCCTTTCAGATTTACTTTCTCCTGAGCTGCTGTGGGATCTGCGATGATGTCACCGTCCGCACCGATGGCGCACGTCACTCCACAGAAAAGACAGCTCATGGACAAGCCTGCATCCATCAGAGCCATGCAGGCCGCATTCAGGCAGCAGGACAGGAGCTGAGGAGCAGGTCAAGGAAGAAGAAAGGCTCCGCCCCAGTGGCTCCGGGGAGTTTTAGTAAAGGATACCGAGCCGTCGTCATGCAGCACCTGAAGGATGAGGGTCAGCGAGGAGCGAGGATGAAGAGACAAGAGAAGAGCTGCCTCACACGTTTCTCTCACACACTGCTCCTGTGACTGCTCCCTCACACCTAGAAAATTCAAAACGGGAGAATCAGCAGAGATAAGAAGAGAGACAAGCAGCTCACTGCCTCCCCCTTGTGGTGTGCCACGGTAAAACACGTTTCATGATGTAAAGTTGCTATGGCGTTAGGGTTATAATTACGTTACTGAGAAGAGATTAAATACTTTAAACAGCAGAGGTTTTTGTACTTGTGTGTGTTAAAGACGCTCAACTAAATATGTTTTAGAAACTCTTCTGGGGCTTTGTTATAAAGATTAAAGCCCCATCATCATCATCATCATCACCACTCTGGTGAAATTCGTTCTCTGCATTCGACCCATCCCTGAGGGAGCAGTGAGCTGCACACACGTCTGCGCCCGGCAACTATTTGGTCGTTTAAAAGAGCAAGTCACCCCCAAATCAGCTTTTTTTCCTGATAAACTATAGAAATGCGTGTCTAATCGTGCTGCAGACACGTGTTGTCAATAGTTTTGCACTTTAGTGCATTTTAGTTAAAATTTTAATTTTCTGCCTAAAACTGTCAGTGTTGCGCCGTTGTCAGGTAAAAACTCTGCACTGCATTTGAATTTAAATCTGCCATCGCTATTGGCTAAGAGGTACCCTAGAACGTTAGCTGGTACCATATGATGTCACAATGTCGTTGTGAGCCTGTGTGTGTGTGTATTTGTTAGTGGCTCCACCCTCTCGGTCTGCTAGGCAACAGCATTTGTTGCATTGTTCAAACAGGAAGTGGGAGTGGAGTAAGACTCTGGTAGGGGGTGACTTGCTCTTTAATCACACGAAACAACCTCTTAATGCTGAGTGTTAAGCAGGGAGGCATCGGGTCACATTTTTAAAGTCTTTGGTACGACCCGACCGTGGATTTGACCCCTGATCGCCCAGTCCCAGGGCAGAAACTCTACCGTTAGCTGGTAGGAGGAAAATGCTATAAAAGTGCTAAATGTTTTAGGCAACTCTCCTTACATCTAGGTCTGAAACGATTCCTCGAGTACCTCGAAAAATTCGTGTACAATTCTCAAACTCTCTGCCTCGAGGCTTCGTTTAATTCATGTTTAATTAATTCATGGCTTAGCAATCGCCCGTGGTCACGTTTCACCCGGACTGAAATAAGTGACGCACATACACACAGCACTGAACGCACACGCGAGAAGCGAATGTAACCTAACTTTCTCTTAAGCCATGGCGGACGACGTGGACCCCGGTGGAGTGTGAAAAAGACACAAAATATCAAAGGTGAGGGAGCATTTTTCACGTGGTCAGGCGGGAAACGTAGTCCAGAGTAAATACTGTAAAATGGATGTAGCCCACCACAACACCACATCCTCCATGCTGCAGCACCTGACCAGGAAACATCCATATGTAAATGTCACTTCTGCAAGCGGTCTCGGAGGTCCACTTTGCGACTTTTTCGTTTGTAGCGCTCAGTTTCAGCTCACACTGTCGTCTGGTAGCAACACGTCGGATCTAAAAATGTGCTAAAAATAGCAGTTTTTACACGTCAGACTTTTCATTGTGTTGTTATTGACTTCTGTTGTCCCTCGGGGTCGCTGCAGGAGGACACGGGTGTTTATGAGGAAAACGAAAGAAAGTAAATAAATGTTTTGTGATCAGTATAATTTGACAAAACCACGGCAAACATGCTTTCTCGACAATCCTCGTTAGTGTTAGACAAAAAGTGCAGAAATTAAAACGGACGTGTGTTCATAGGGAAACAGCTGGCGAGATGTTTGCGCATGCGCCGTGAGCGGTTCTGGTTCTGTTTGGGCCGCAGCCGCTCGCTGTGCTACTTCAACAGTTATCCTCCTAGTTTTTGTCTGGCTTGCAGGCTGGTAGATCCACACGAGGAGAAAACCGGCTCAGGTTGTTTACTTATTTTTTGCACAGGCGTTTGTTTACTGTGAAGTAAAGTTGAAGTTTTGAAAACTAATTTTGAATAAAACTTGAAGAATAACTGGCAATTGCGTGCTAATTTTAGGAGCTCTTTCATATTTTATAACATGCTATTTGATATAATGGTTTACAAACACAAAAGGGTCATTTATTAGAGTACTCGATTACAAAAATATTTGATAGCCGCAGCTCTAGTTCTGGCCTTAATAATGAAGCATTTTAAATGATGCACCTGAGCTGTAACTATGGTAACGCAAGATTCCATAGCTTTACCATAGTGACAGTCTATCATAGGTGACAGACAGCGCTCCATAGGGAGTCTAAGCCACGCCCATCTACTTCCGGACCACGGGTCCCCAGAAGAACAAAACAATGAATGCAAGTCAGCGGGGCTAAAGACACTATTTTCTAATTCTGCTTGTTATGTGCCATGGATTTCACACATGATTAGGTCTGAAACGATTCCTCGAGTACCTCGAATAATTCGTGTACAATTCTCAAACTCTCTGCCTCGAGACTTCATTTAATTCATGTTTAATTAATTCATGGCTTAGCAATCGCCCGTGGTCACGTTTCACCCGGACTGAAATAAGTGACGCACATACACACAGCACTGAACGCACACGCGAGTAGCGAATGTAACCTAACTTTCTCTTAAGCCATGGCGGACGACGTGGACCCCGGTGGAGTGTGAAAAAGACACAAAATATCAAAGGTGAGGGAGCATTTTTCACGTGGTCAGGCGGGAAACGTAGTCCAGAGTAAATACTGTAAAATGGATGTAGCCGACCACAACACCACATCCTCCATGCTGCAGCACCTGACCAGGAAACATCCATATGTAAATGTCACTTCTGCAAGCGGACTCGGAGGTCCGCTTTGCGACTTTTTCGTTTGTAGCGCTCAGTTTCAGCTCACACTGTCGTCTGGTAGCAACACGTCGGATCTAAAAATGTGCTAAAAATAGCAGTTTTTACACGTCAGACTTTTTATTGTGTTGTTATTGACGTCTGTTGTCCCTCGGGGTCGCTGCAGGAGGACACGGGTGTTTATGAGGAAAACAAAAGAAAGTAAATAAATGTTTTGTGATCAGTATAATTTGACAAAACCACGGCAAACATGCTTTCTCGACAATCCTCGTTAGTGTTAGACAAAAAGTGTAGAAATTAAAACGGACGTGTGTTCATAGGGAAACAGCTGGCGAGCCATGTTTGTGCATGCGCCGTGAGCGGTTCTGGTGCCGTTTGGGCCGCAGCCGCTCGCTGTGCTACTTCAACAGTTATCCTCCTAGTTTTTGTCTGGCTTGCAGGCTGGTAGATCCACACACGAGGGGAAAATCTTGTTTATAATAATAATAATAGTTTATAAACACAAAAGGGTAATTTATTAGAGTACTCGATTAATCGATAAAAGATTCGATAGAGTACTCGATTACAAAAATATTCAATAGCTGCAAAAGTTTTAAAGGTAAAAGTGCACGAAGGTCATCAAGTGTAGAGCAAAATGTACCTGTTAGGAGTGGGATTTATTACGTTTATGTTTTAGATGAAACAGGAGATGACACCAGTTTTTTTTTGTAAAAACCCTCATAAAAGGAAACGACTGAGTACATCACGTTTCTGCTTTGATAAAATGACTTGGTGTTGTATTTGATGTGAGGATTCTGCAAACAGCAACAGCCCAAAATGTGTCTGAAACCCGGCGTTCACCTTTTGTTTGGTGACACACCTGTTCCTGTTGACATTTTGGCTCATATCTAATATTTAAAAGTGTTTGGTTTAAGAAAACAAAACAAAAATGACAATAATTCATTTGTTTTCCATTCTGGAAAATAAACTACCTGCTGGTCCCACTTTAGGCTGAAGCAACACCTCCAGAGTGGCCCGATCATAGATTTCTTTACTGACTTTGACCTCAGCAGGCCCGTAAACGCCGGCCATCACACTCGTATCCCCTTTGAAAACAAACAAACAAGGTAAACGGTTATTAGTATATTTCTAATTTTACAGAAGCATTCATTTCATTCCAGAACTGCGCTGCTCTGGGTGGCTGCATGTTGGAGTAGCTCTGTTGACTATATGGAAGTTTTGCCTTTTTTGGACATTTTTTCTTCTAGTTTCTCAAGAAAAACTGTATTTTTTGACATTTTACTTTTCTGTTTCTGGTGCTGTGAAGATTGGAGGATTTTTTCTGCAATTTTTTCACTTTTTTAGCATTTGTTATGATGTGTAACCATGGCAACAAGCTGGTTTACAATCGGGAGCAGCTGATTAACATTGGAAAGGCTGAAATAACACCTCGACTGAAGCCACAAATCCCAAATGAGCTAAAACAAAAGAAGCGTGGGTGCAGAGCGGGAGCGGGACGGAGACGGAGAAAGAGGAAATTCAAACCATCTCTTCCATCGATCATAATGGGCGATGTGAGATCACTGGCCAACAAGATGGAGGAACTCCAAGCCCTTTCGAGGACTCAGCCAGAGTTTCGGCATTTTCGGAACCGCTGGAGGAGATAAAGCAAAGAAGGATTCTCCAGAGAATCAAGAAAATGATGGACAACCCTGAGCATTCTCTTCACAAGACTGTCCGACAACGGAAGAGTGTCTTCAGTCAGAGGCTTCTTCAGTTTGGCTGCAACACTGACCGCTACTGGAGATCCTTCCTGCCAACAGCCGTTGTAATATACAACACCTCTTTGATGACTTGATTATTATTATTATTCTGAGCTACTACAGCAATCAGTTTCCCTCTGGGATTAATAAAGTATTTTTGAACTGAACTGAGTGAAGTAAGAAACACCTAGAAGGTAAACAAAACACCAATCTGTGAAACGCCTGAACAACACTGGTTGATTTATTTTCAACGTAAAAAAAGAAGCTTTGTGACAATTTTCAAACATAAAAAGGAAAACTTCAACCAAAGGTGTAAAGGCCACGGGTTTAAGTCGAGGGAAACGCGTTTAAACACGCGACACCAAACCTCATATTTACACATTCACTTCCTTTCTTCTGCTTTTAAGATGCTTTTCGGCGAACAGCGCTCCTCTGCGACTCGCGCAGCCTGTTTGAGTCTGAATAAAAGACCAAATCACGGACATAAATGATGATTGTTACCCTGGACGAACGACGCCGAGCCGTCCGGTCTGGACAGCAGATTCTGTTCACAGCCGAACTCTCTGAGAGAAACATTATTAGAAGCAGAAACCTCCATCATGCCGCCTTCTTCGAGAATATGTTTGTCGCAGGGGAATTACGTCATCGGTTCTTTCAAAGTTAAACCGGAGACATCGATTTGACACTTCTTACAAAAACGTATTACATAGGTGTCTTGCGTTTTAATTTTTTATGATCATAAGTAACATTTTTCAACAATAATCTTTTTTATATATGCTTCTGATCGTTTATTTAGTCATTATTTATTTTGAAAGTACAAAACGGAAAGCGCTATCCATCGAGTTGTCAGTTAACCACTAGGGGGCGACAAAACCCCATTCTTTCATTTGTAAACACCATTTTAGAATGCTGCGTGAATAACCAGAAGCTGTGTTCGTCATTACTGGTTTCGTGTTTAACTTGATGCTGTCTTTGTGAAGCAAGTTGTAGTTTTTTGTTAAAGCAACTACTTTATTCATTTTACTTCTATTTGCCTTCAAATTTTGATCTTCTGAGAAAACTGACAGGTGCTCCGCAAGTGGACACCCGTTTTTGTTGCTTTATGTTTACAATTTAGGTAAAATTTTCAATAGCAAAAAATGCTTCTTCGTTTTTCTATTTTTTATTTATTTTGTTTTTGGTAATTGGTTTAAATATTTTAAATACATACTTGAAAGCATAAATGTTTCACAGAATATGTTTGCTGTGCTATGAAAACCTGTTTCAGACCTTCTGGGCCTAAGTAGGCTGTATAATCTAGTATTATCATAGTTGACTGGGTGCTTTGGAGGACCCACAGCACCCAAGTGGAGCTCGCTGCAGAACCACAAAGGCAGAGGATTAACTTGTTTCATATTTTATGACTTTACTATTTTGTTTTTAATGTAAGTCTGATAAAGATCATTGTGATGTTATTACTTAGTTTTGATCTGTGTGAAGCACTTTGTGATTTTGTCTGTGATGAGTGGTATATAAATTTCACTTACTTTATATGTATCATGTGTTAAATATAATAAATCCTAAATACTAACTACATAGAAGTATAATTATATATATTTATACACACACAGATATAAATAAATAAATATATATTTATTCATACACACACACACACATATAGATATAAACAAATATATATATATATATATTTATATAGATGTGTGTGTGTAGCCTGCCTTTCTAAGTCTGAGACATAATCCAGCTCCCCCATAGCCCTAGTGACGATAACTGACGTTGACTGAGATTTTAAGACAAACATCAATGCTGATGATTTTATTTTACATGTAATTGATGACATAGATTGGTAAACTAAACCAAACAGCAAAACACCAGGTACTAATCTGTGTTGCACATGCAAGACACACGGATATCTCTTTTGTCTCTTATGTCATGCATGAAAACTCCATATCATCTCTGAGAAGGTGAAAATGAAGGGAGACCGGGTTTCATCCTCATCCATATCGTGTGTAGTCACGAACAGACGGCCATTGCTGCGTCGTCTTCATCCACACTGAAGATGTCTGGTGGGATGACCTATGTAACAAAGTGTTGTTGGTTTTCCTTCACCCAGCTCCAGGCCACCATGATGCCACTCATCACAGACACGTCCCATATGCAAAATGATAATGAATTCCAATAACAAGGAAATGAGTCATGCTCTCGTCGTTGAATACAAATACACAAACAACCAATAAACATTCACTAGATGCTACATACCTGTACTTCTTTTCATTGGGTGACCTCCATAGTGTCTGGCTCTGTTGGGCTGAATTGACTTTGAAGAAAAGATTTTCCCCATGAAATATTACAAACTCCCCATGTACTGGCAACTCACATCCTGGAAATTTCCTGCAAAGTATTCATACCCAGCCAGAGGAAATGTCTTCAGTAATTGTTGGCACCACCCATGGATGTAATTTGGGGGGGGGGGGGGGGGTACAGGGGGGGACATGACCCCCCCCCCCCCCCCCCCCCCACAAAGTCAAGCTTTGACCCCTGCACTTTTTACCATCCAAAAACAACATTACGCTATATTAAATTGACACTGGTTGAGCTCTAGGACCATAGCCTAGTGAACTAGACCAAATTCTTGCTTTGCAAAGTTTGGTCTAGGCATGCTCCATTGGAACCTCCACAGCTCCTACCAGGACTCTGGCTAGCCAATCACAGCTCTCTAGAGGGGTTTCAAACACATAAAGAGCTGTGATTGGTCCATAATGGTGGGCCAATCATAGTGCTCTATCTGCTTAGTGAACAAATCACAGAGCTTTATCCGCTTTGTGGGCCAATCAGGGCACTCTATATGCCTGGTGGGTGGGATGATGCAACAGAGTGAAACAAGAGTATGTCACATTCATTGTCCAGTAGCATGCGGAGATCATTTGAAAGACAACCGTAGAACCCGCCCCACAACCGAGAGCCGTCAATGGAGCGTGGCCAGACTAAATAATAAATTTATTTAGTCTGGCTTGCCAGGCTACTAGGACCAAGCAGAAAACAACCATTTGTGTTGAAGCCTGTTTCCCATTAGAACATACTGTAAAGATCCCCACCCCGTGTCCCCCCCCACTTCTAAAGTGAAAATTACATCCATGGCACCACCAACTCCTGATTACGGGCATGTCTGACTAATAATATATACAAATTGAAAAGTTCTTTATTTAAATTTAAATTGGTCTCGCAGTGCATTTTTTAAAATAACGATAAAAACTCACTGGAGCTAAATCAAAAGGCATGTCCAGGGTCTCATAGAGGGCATTCAAACTCCAACGGTACATCCACAAATGGCATTTAAACTGTAAGACCACTGACCATCATCGTGTCTGCCCCACAGTCATCCCCTCCCCGCTGCAGCTGGCCTCCACACTCCGCACATACGGCTTCTTTGGGAATCAATTCCTTTGAAATGTCCTCTAATGTTTGGGAGCCAGTGACCAAATCCTGGGGGAGATTTTCCGGTAGAGCTGTTTTTCATGATGTATCTTACCATTCTCATGAGATCACTGTTGTCCTCCGACTGGTACTGCCTCATCCTGCAGTTCCTCCTTTGTCTCAGCAGCATCACCACCGTCAGCGGCACCCTCTTTGGTCCTGAACATTTAGCCACACTTTTGTGCAAGCACAACTGTCTGGGTTTGGCACATGGGCAATGCCATGACCTCTTTCATGTCGAAGGCCGCCATCACCCTTCCCAGTCTGCTGCAGCACGACACTTTGGGCTCAGAAACTGATATGAACTTTGTTGAGGACGGCCCTCCAACTGCGACATCAACTGAGAGAGGCACTCCTGCAGCAGCAGATGCGCTCTGGAGGCTCAAGCAGCTGTTTTCTCCCATCCCCAAACATTCGCCATGTCCGACAGCACCTCTTCTTCTCTGCTTTTTCAAAGATGGCGCCGCAGACGGCTGCCTTGGTACTTTGGTGCGCTGTTATTGTTCTGTTTTTGTGTGTAAATTGCGTATCTGGGTTCTCCTACTCAAGAGAAGAACTCATAAGTTACAACACTATGATTCCGGTGGACTTAACCTGGTTTTTTGTTGCATCCGGGGCCGATTCAATATCAACTTTGATCAGGAAAGTGAGACGCAGGAGGAGAGGTAAACGAGCGGGCGCGCTCGTGCGTCTGAGGAGACGGGGACTGCGCACGGCTCTACCTGGGACCTTCCTCTCTAATGTGCGCTCACTCCGCAACAAAATGGACGAGCTGACCCTGATGAGGAACATAAACAGAGACTTCTCCTCATCTGTGCGCTCCAGCTGGATGGGTTTCACCTCATCCGCGCAGATCGGGAAGCGACTCTCTCCGGCAAGACCGCAGGTGGAGGTGTGCGTTTTTACATCAATAAGAGTTGGTGCACAGATGTCACAGTGATCGCGCAGCATTGCTCTCCATCTCTGGAATATCTTGTCACAAACTGTAAACCATTTTACTCTCCGCGGGAATTCGCCTCGTTCATTCTAGGCGCTGTTTACATCCCACCTGACGCGGACGTGCACGAGGCTCAGCGTGCGCTCGCGGAAGAGATACTGTGCATGGAGCGGACGTACCCGGACTCCCTCATCATTGTACTTGGAGACTTTAACAAAGCTAATCTGAGCCAGGAGCTTCCCAAATACAAACAGTATACCAAATGTCCAACCAGAGAGGGGACAGTCTCTTTTCAGTCGTTATCCGGGGTCGAGTCGCAGCAGCCTATATATATCATGCAGTGGCGCGCGCTGCGCTTGGACTCTCAGACCACGTGACCATCCATCTGATCCCAGCTTACAAAGGCTAAAACTCTCCAAGCCTGTTGTGAAGTCAACAAGACAGTGGAACACAGATGCCGCAGATGAGCTTCGTGCATGCTTTGAGACCACAGACTGGGAGGTAATGAAGGCCACCTCAGACAGTTTAGATGAGTTCACAGATGCCGTCACCTCCTACATCCACTTCTGTCAGGACAGCATCGTACCATCACACAGCAGGGTGAGTTATAACAATGACAAAGCCTGGTTTACCCCTAAACTCAAACAGCTGTGGCTAGAAAAGAGAGATGCATTTAAAAGGGGGACAAGGACTCCCACAGAGACACTGAATACAGGTTCAGCAAAGAATTGGTCGAAGCCAAACACCAGCATCATGACAAAATGCAGCAGCAAATCTCTGAAAACGACCCAACCTCTGTGTGGAAAAGTTTCAGGAACATCACCAACTACAAACCCAGAAGCCCCGCCTCCACGGATAATCTGCTCTTGGCAAACAACCTAAACTATTTCTATTGTCGGTTTGACGAGCCATCAGGCAGGCCTCACTCCTCGTCCAGCCCCAACAATAGAGACACTGTTCAGCCACTCCCCACTACAGAGCCATCACCCTCCCCCTCACTCCCACTCATGAGGACTTCACGCCACACACCCCCACCACAAACCTACACATTCATGAAGCAGATGTAAAGAAGCAGTTCAGGTCTCTTAACACGCGAAAAGCCCCGGGCCCTGATGGCGTGGCTCCTGCCGCTCTAAAGCACCGTGCTGAAGAGCTGGCCCCAGTTTTCACGAGCATCTTCAACTCCTCACTGGAGGAATCTCATGTGCCTGCCCGCTTCAAGATCTCCACCATAGTCCCTGTTCCCAAGAAACCAAGGCCCCATTCCCATCTGTACCGGGTCGGCCCGGGCCGGGTAGCGTAGGTTGTTTACATATCTGGGTGGCCTGGTATTTTTCCGGGCCAACCAAGGCTCATTCTCAGCCCTCTTCTCGAGGGGGTCTGCTTCAGGCCGACCAGGGCCAACACACCCACTGCTGACAGCAAATTCACACCTTCCATTAGAGCAAGCCTCTGATTGGTGGGTAGAATCAGCCCACATGGGCTTAAGGCAAGGATGTGTGGAATCAACCGGGCCAGGCTGGGGCCGACTGGGGCTACCCGGCCTGGGCCGACCCGGTACAGATGGGTCCCAGATGAACGTGCCTGACCCCATCTGCAGGTGGATCACTGACTTCCTGACAGACAGGAAACAACAAGTCAGGCTGGGGAAGAACGTCTCGGACCAACGGACCATCAGCACCGGCTCACCACAGGGCCTCTGCTCTTCTCCCTGTACACCAACAGCTGCACCTCCAAGCACGAGTCTGTCAAACTAATTAAGTTTGCTGACGACACCACCATCATCGGACTCATCTCTGATGGGGATGAGTCCGCTTACAGAATGGAGGCTGAGCGGCTGGTGTCCTGGTGCAGCCACAACAACCTGGTGCTAAACACCCAGAAGACAGCGGAGGTTGTTGTGGACTTTAGGAAAAGCACACACCCCATCCCCCCCTTAAACCTGTCTGACACTCCCATCACGATGGTGGACTCATGTCGCTTCCTGGGCACCGCCATCACCCAGGACCTCAAATGGGAGCCCACCATCACCACCATCAGAAAAAAGGCCCAGCAGAGGATGTACTTCCTGAAGCAGCTGAAGAAATTCAACCTATCACCACAGTCGATGAGGCAGTTCTACACCGCTATCATCGAGTCCATCCTCACCTCCTCCATCACCGTGTGGTACGCTGGAGCTACCACCAGGGACAAGAAGAGGCTGCAGCGTGTCGTGCGCTCTGCAGAGAAGGTCATTGGCTGCAAACTCCCCTCCACTCAAGATCTGTACACCTCGAGGACATTGAGGCGTGCAGGTCGGATAAGAGCTGACTCGTCTCACCCTGGACACAGTCTCTTCGACTCGCTCCCATCTGGCAGGAGGCTCAGATCCATTCGGACCAGAACCTCTCGCCACAAAAACAGTTTCTTCCCCTCTGCAGTTGGACTTGTGAATGAACATCCTAGGGCAGCCCACTCAAGTTGACTGGTCCCAGTCACGTGACCCGATGCTGTGCTTGAACCATTCAACAAATACTCAGATTAATACCTACACGGAGTAGATAGCTGCTTCTCTAATTCTTGCCACTTTTTACATTAATAATTTTATCATGAGTGTTTTATTAATTCTTATATTTGCTTATCTCTTAATTAAGTTTTTTTTTCTATCTTACCTTCTGCACCAAAATACCGCAGCAATTTCCTAATGTTGTGACTCGGCACACATATGGCAATAAAAAACTTCTGATTCCGATTCTGATTCTTCCAGAATTGTGCGGGGGGGGGTGTCTGATCTGCGAGAAAATGCCAATGACTTTAAGTGGATGCATTCGTATGGCAGAGGTCCACTCCTCACTGCAAAGTCCAAATTAGTGTTGCAATCATCCAGTTCACTCATTTGTTTTTGGCTTATACACCAGGTTTTTTCCCCTACATGTATTGGTGGGCATGGTTTGAAGAACGATTTGTTGACTACAAAGATGCCATTTGTAGCATCAACGCACTGACACGACCGGTGCCGTGTCTCTGATATCTGCTGTCCCTTTGGCCTGTGCTTCCTGTTAATGTGCACCTGCAAGTTCTTTTTATTTAGCGTGATGCTGCAATGGCCGCACGTCACTTTCACCTGCTGGCGGACCTTTAATCGCCGTGAGGATGATGAGGACGACGACGGTCCTGTCTGTGGTGGAGGAGGAGGTCCTGTCTGTGCTGGAGGAGGAGGTGCTGTCTGTGACGGTGGAGGAGGAGGTCCTGTCTGTGGGGGTGGAGGAGGTGCTGTCTGTGACGGTGGAGGAGGAGGTCCTGTCTGTGGGGGTGGAGGAGGTGCTGTCTGTGCCGGAGGAGGAGGTCCTGTCTGTGACGGTGGAGGAGGAGGTCCTGTCTGTGGGGGTGGAGGAGGTCCTGTCTGTGGGGGTGGAGGAGGTGCTGTCTGTGCCGGAGGAGGAGGACGTGATAATTTCTCCTTACATATGGCAAGATGTTTCACAAATGCCATCCTCCGCAGAATCGTTGACGGACAGTAACAGCAATGATAATGTGCCGTCTCCCTGCAGCCCAGGCTGCATTTTAAGATGACGTAATCTAAAGTGGGAAAAGAGCAGACGGATTAACTGTCTTACAGCGATGCTTCATGCAAAGTAGCACCACAGACCTCACCCGATACCAGATCAAGTACTTATAGAAAACTGCTAGCCTTGCCTTATGTTATTTATTGCTAATAAAAAAGAAGAAACTGACATAAAATAAACGACTAAACATTCATATTGGAAAGAAGTAAAATGACCTTATAAAAAACAATCCCTAAATATTTCTCACGAGGAGATGTCTGGTTGTAACATCTGCAGCAAAATAAATAAATAAATAAATAAATGTGTTGAAAACTCACTCAAAAGAAAATGTTTCACAGAACAGAAAAATATTTACATCAGAATGTTCTAGTACAGGTTGTGCATTGTACTATGCATTAAAAACGGGGTAAAAACGTTCAGTTTTTCAGCGTAAACTTTTTGTCCTTATAAACATTTAGTTATTATATAATTATATATTATACAGCCAGTTTACACATTCATTGAACGCTTATGAAGGAATGATGGGCCACTACAGCTCTAAACAGTGTGTGTGTGTGTGTGTGTGTGGGGGGGGGGGGGGGGTGCACACATACAAGGTAGGGAATAGTAAATAAATTACTGGACAAATTTGAAATAACGCATACATACCTTCATGCTTTACAGCAATGCTCACATGATTCTCTACATGGTATTTAACCTTGTAAAAATCAGCATAAGCCATTTTACAGAAAGTGCAGTGAATGTTGCTGCAACAGCCGCCGCATCGCTCGATAGACTGAAGAGGATCCTGCCCTCTCCTCAGTATTGTTTGATGCATCTGTGAAGGTCAAACACACACAAGCACACATTCTAAATATGAAAACATTTTCTAAATATCAGAATGCACACGCTGAGCACATTTTCCTTTAATTCAGTTTTATTTTATTTTGTTAAACAAGTGCACTGGGAAAGTGTCACGCCCTGTCCTGTCTCTCCGTTTGGTTCAGCCTGCGTCTCTGTTGATTGCTCCCACCTGCCTCTCGTTTCCCAATCACCCAAGCTCCCAGCCCTCCTGTATTTAAACCCCTCAGTTCTGGGTCTCTTGTTGCCTCATTGTTAGCATGTCCCGTGTGTCCTTGATTAAAATCCCTCTAAAACGTTTCTGCCTGCCTTTGGATCCTCACCTCCGCTCCACTCACCGGCATGTCATGACAGAAAGTCTACCGGGGTTATAAAATACTTTTAAAATTGTCATTAGATTTAATTTATTTAGTATTGAATTAAAATTTTAAATTCAATTTTGGTTTTAATTACTTTTTACCATTCGATAGGTAGTTTAGTTTTAGTTTAGATTGTACACATCTTGTTTAAAGAAGACAGAAACAGAGACAAGATTAAAAAACAGTATAAAAACTCAAAAAATGACTACGCTTTTTAAAACTATTGAGATGGGACAGATTAACAACCATACGAATCAGGCAAGTACAAAAGATGTATGGCAGAGTAACGTTCAGATCCAGTAAACACAATAACAGCAGCTGTGCATTAAAAAGCCAAACAATTAATGCAGGTGGTACAATTCTATAAAAAACTGACTGGCAACACAATAAAACTAAAGCCAAGCTACCATGACTGCTATAATGCTTTAGGTTATTTTGCACATCCTCTTAGTCGTAAATAATCCCAAATAATCCTGTGACGCTTTCTCTCAACCTTTGCTTACATGACGTGTAATCGCAGCTACACCATCAGCACACTGACGCCTCTGACGTGTTGGAATAACGCAGTACTACCATCGACATTAATATACTACCGAGTACTACCGAGCGAAAACCACCCAACAACCGGAAAAAAGAGAGGGATTATTTTCCATCAACATATCACACACACACACACACACACACACACACACACACACACACACACACACACACACACACACACACACACACACACACACACACACACACACACCGCTTCGGCTGACTCCCATTGCAGTTGTGATGCTAGCTTGTTGGTTAGCATAACTCACCGGTTATGAAGTTCTTTCTGAAGACTGCTGCGTGTTTAATCGTCGTTCCAAAAGCCAAAACGTCTTTTATTTGCCTTGAAAGGGAGTGAGTCGATGGACTTTTATCAAACTTTTCCGTTCTGTTGTTTTTAATCAAAGCGATTTGTGCTGCTAACCAAAAAGCCACAACAGATGATGCGTTTCTGGTGACAACGCGCCGTAGGCAGCGAGCGACATAGACATAATTCTTAGACTTTATGAAACAAAAACTAAGCCCATTTTCTTAATAAATACAGTTAGTTTTGTGTACGCGCGTTACAGTTAACGCTTCGTTTGACGTTCGTTTTCGATAACCTTGAAGTCTACCCTGCTAGCTACGTTAGCATAAGTACGGAGTACAATTTGAGCCAAATTTACCGCACATTGCAAATTAAACGTTTAAAAAAATAACTTTAATTGTGTTTATATTACGTTAGTTTACTTACAGCCATTAAGCCGGAGGGAGTCACTCGGCAGCTCCACCCTCTGGTGCAGCTCCACCTTTGTGGTTCCGCAGCGAGCACCCTCTCACAGCCCTGGGCGTGTTGTTGTTTGACCTGCTTCCAGTCAGAAGGTACAAAACAATGCACAACAAACAGCTTTACCCCACTAGCTGCTAAATGCCATGCATATTTATATGTCGATGAATGCTACCATGCTGCAACACTATATGGATGTGAGAGTGAGACCGCTTTTACATGACAAGTGTTTTGTTTCAGTGTTTTATTCTGCTTTTTTTCTTTTTGTGAATGGGTGAATGATTGATTGTGTTATGAACGATGGTTGTGAAGCGTCTTGGGTGGTTGTAAGAAGGTGCAATAAAAATACTGGCCATTTTTGTTTTTAAACTCAATCATATTCTATTCTTTTACCAAATGCTAATTCTCTAGCCTGGCAAGCCAGACTAAATAAATGTATTTCTTTGCAAAGCGAGAATTTGGTCTAGTTCACTAGGCTACTAATTCTCTACAAGAAAATGAATTATGTAATCTGTAAACATCAAACATGAAAAAAAAACTGAATTGATGTGACGTAGTTACCGAAAAGTGTCTTTAACTGTCGTAACTACTTCTTTAAATACTGTCGCCGTGCCGGCCCTCGATCCTTTTCTGCTCTTACGTTATTCAGTTGATGGTTGAAAGCAACGAGTAAGTAAAAAATAAATAAAGGGGCAAAAAGACGTATTAGTCCGATTTTAATTACTAAGGCATCGGTTTTCACGAGCATTCGTTGGGAATTTCCCAATGTGTTTACCGACAGGAACTTTTGATGCTAACTCGCGTTAGCTTAGAGCTATATACTAATGTGGTTTTCTGGAGTTTTCGGACAGTTATAGTGACTGTATTTGTTCAGAGAGGTGAATTTAAAATTATTTGTGACTTGAGAAACGATCATTAGAAGATTGCGCTCGAAATGTAGATCGGACGGGCGTTTTAGCTCTAGTAGCACGTGGAGCGGCCGCCTCTCGAACCCGAGACAAATCGTAACCGTTTTGGGAAAAATCAAGTTTAATATAGCGGAATTTCTTTTTCGTACTTATATAAATGTATATTTTGCTGCATGAATTTATTTTAAACAAATAATTGACTCGAGTGACAAAAGTAAACGATACAAACTTTTAACTACAAAGCGCCTTAAAACATCGCTGCTCAGAGAAGCTAGTTAGCGTTAGCACGTTAGCTGCTAATAGAGCTACCGAGACGCCCGTTGGTGCCTCTAGAACCACAGCTTGCTCTCCTTTATCTGGGATTTTTCTGTGCAGTGAGCAGATTCCAGAGCAGCAGTGGTGAGAGGAAATCAGTCAGGTTTTGCTTTCACTTCTGCATCATCAGTTGCAGAATGGTGACAATGAGGCCTGGCACATTGACTCTGCGCGTTAGCAAATGCACTCCATTATAGAGATTGTAGTGTGAAGTGTTTGTCTTGTGGAAATCCCTAGATAGTGAGTTTAGATCTGTAGTGAGTTGGATCCTGACAGGACTAGTTATCCTGATATGAATTCAATCTGGTGCATATTTGGTTTACGTCCACTGATTTGGTCTCGTTAAGAAGAAAAAAATCTTTTCTATTTCTTAACAGGTCATTTGTCAGAACTGGATCACCATGACTCTAGTGAACATCCTGGTCACTCACTGGCTGACAAACTTGAGTTCAGGTAAGAAATGAGAGATGGATTGAGTTAGGAATGTAACTCGAGTTCTGATTTAAGTAGAGTAACTTGTTTAATTGGGTTAACAGTCGTTGGCACAGTGTGAGCTGTGGTTCTGCCAGGTGGACCGTTGGGCTCATACAGTGCAAAGAGCAACCAATTCTCTTGCAACCCACTGCTGTTAACCCTCTGCAGCAGTGCTACTAATGAGAACCAACAGATCAACTGTTTTATTGTTTTAATGCCATGAAGCATTAAAAGAAAAAGCACAAAAAGAAAAAAAAGCAGAATAAAACACTTGTCATGTAAAAGCGCAGTCTCACTCTTTCATCCATATAGTGTTGCAGCCTGGTAGCATTCATCGACATATAAATATGCATAGCATTTAGCAGTATTTTTATTTCCTCTGTCTCACCAGGTGGTGGAGGTGACCTCGGGTCATTCAGGTGAGTCGTGTTTGTCCACCAGAGGTTCTGTTTCTGAGTTATGATGAATGGCTGAAAATGTTCAACTGCTCTGAAGTGTGAGTGACATTTGCCTTTCTGAACAACCTGCTGCACAGAAACCTCAGGTTATGTTTTAGTTTAATGTTCTTACCTTCGCCTTTGTTCTGCTGCAGGTTTCCACCCTGAGCCGGACGGATGATGTGATGTAAGTTACTGTGTTGAAACCTGTGTTGGGAAGTTTAATTAGCACATATAAACCTTAATAAAGTAAATTTGTGTCCAAGCGTCATGTTTCCAGCTGGTGTAACGGCAAACCTTAAAGCGCCACCAAAACCCACTAGATGTTCTATCCGAGGTCTGTCCTTGACAGATTCTTCTCTGTAGAGCCGTGTCGTTGGAAATGCCTCGGAGAGTAAATCTGTAGTTCGCTTTACCCGCGTGTTCTCTGCTGTGAGCATTGTGGGATATACTGCAGAACACAAAACGGCAAGGAGCTCGTTTGTGTGAAAAGTTTAGTGTTTTGGGGCTCATGTTTTATTTCTTTCTTAGGTCATGAATTTGGCTGTTAAGTCGAAGGAACTCTGGCTCTGAGTCAGGATTACTTCCAGTAAGTTGGGATTTGTTAGTTTGTGACTGCACTGTGTGGTATCTGCAGCCAGCTGGTCCATCAGCTGGTTTGTTCAAAAGTCAGTGCTAAAGAAAGTCTGCATCTGGCATCGTTGGTCTCCATCCAGCCTGTGGTTGGAGTCCTGGTATTGGTGCTGAAACAAAGTCCTTCACTTTAGACGTCATGAACCTCACCGCTGTTTGGAGTTCTGTTGATTAAAGTTTTGTTATAGGAGAGTGGTGGCAGGAAGCTGATTGTGTTCTTGCATTAATGAGACAACCAGCAAATCATTATGTTGTGTTTTTAGGTGGCGGATGCTGCGTGAAGAGTCTTCATTCTGGTGTTTGGGGTGAGTGGAGTTCAGACGTCTGCAGAAGCAGCACTGTGTGGTGTCTGCAGCCAGCTGCTAGGTCAGCTGGTTTGTTTAAAAGTCGGTGCGAGACCAAACTCAGCATCAAGCCTCGTGGATCTCCATGCTGCCCGTGTTTGGAGTCCTGGTTTAATGGCTGAAACATGCCCAACTTCTGGCATCACACTGACATTAACTTACTGGTGTAATCCTTACACTCAGGTCAGAGTACAGATTTAAGCTAGACCTGCACCAGAACTTACCTGAGATTCTGGCTGAAGATTTACCAGTAATGCCTGGTATGGGAAATGTTTCTTTTAAGATTTAAGAACGTTTGTTTCTTGTCCTCAGGTTTCAGCTGCAGCCGAGATGACCTTTGACCTGAAGCTGTGCTGACCCGTGATTAGCTATCACAGGTGACTGAGTAGAAAACACAGGCTGACACTTATCAGTCTTGGACTGTAACCAGGTTTTTGTAATGGTGAGAATCCTCTGGAGGTGTTGGTTTCCAGTCTGTTGGCTAGCTTTGGGGTTGGTCATATACCAAGGCTCTCAGGATGCTGGGTTCCTGACTTGCTGTGGACTTGACCGTAAAGTAAACGTCATCCCTGTGGGCTTCTGCAGCAGCGCCTGTAGAAGCATCATCGGGAACATGTGCAGCTGATTCACCCTCGTTTAGAAACGACTGTAGTGAGTCAGACTTGAGAGGAAAAGCTGAACGGTTTCATTCTGTGTTTCAGAATCACCACATTGGACCGGCTGGGAAATTTCAGCTTAAAGTTGGGTGTGCTTCGCTTAAATATATGATGATGAGCAGATGAACTGACTTTTAAATGAATGATAAAATAAATAAAAATGTTAAACAGATTCTTGTCTTTTTTTGTTGTTGGCAAAATAAATTTTTTGTGTATCCAGTTACATCAGGAGCTGCCATCCTTTGTGTTTATTTTGTATAACTAAAGGAGGCTTCTGCAGAAGGGATTAAGCTAGAGCATCATATAAAATAAAAGGCCTCATGGACTGGAGGTGCAGCTGCAAGAAAGGCATTTGTAACATCCACCTGGAAGCCTGATCATGTCATTGATTTGAGCAAAAGAGCTCTGGGAATGTTCAGAAATGTATTTGAGGCGGGTTATGGATACCATGGACACTTCCCACGGTGGAGGTGGACAACTAGGTAGAATGTTTTTGTTTGAAAAAGTAAGTGGGATTATTTAACCAGGAAGGTCCCATTGAGAACCTCATTTTCAAAAGGCAGAAGTTAGTAACTGAAAGTTACTGATCATTTGTAACTAAGTGATTATAAAGGGATTAAAGCACACTGAGTGGAGAACAGGGTAGATGTAGGGTAATGACGCTGCTTCCCGGTCTTGTTTGGGTCCTACTTTGTTGGTTTCTGTTGACGTGACAACCAAAATAAAGATGTCATTTTATGTAAATTCATGTAAAACTTTTACGCATCTTGAAATATTCAATATCAGTTAAATTTAGCTCGTGCTTCCTTTTAGTCTCAACATGCCTGAACGATTCATATTGGGACTTTAATTTTAAAAATCAGATGGTGGTTGTCAGGATTTGAGTCCCTTCCGCTCTGACACGTGAGGGGGCGTGGCTTTCCTGGGCCAATATGGCTGCCGTGTCGCATTTCCTGAACGGTAAAGTTTGATCAGCTACCTGTTAGCGTCTGTGCGGACGGAGGTTGCCTGTTGGGACGAGTGTTCCGGTGAGACACCTCACCTGTCAGAACCGGTTTACTCAGGTTACTTTTATCTCTACGGCTCGTTCGTCAGCAGGTGATCAACTTGTCGTTTCTACCGGAATAATTATCCTCTATTCAGACCAAACCTGTGGATGTTTAACGGGATTATGTAACAGGTGTAAATCAGGGGGAGGGGTCCTCCCGTTTACCTGGATTAAAGGTGTTCTGTTCACTTAAAGTGGAAAATGTAAAAGTTTGTTTTATCTTGGTTCAGGTATTTAAACCATTTCCGGTGTTTTAGTTGTTCCAGCAACACAAACATAAAATATGTGTATAAATTACTGTATTGTGATGAAAAGCAATCCGGAACACAGAGCGTCAAATTCCCCGGATGTGAAGGGTGGATCACCTTCCCTTTCTTCTGCCATGTCTGTTGGATTTAGCTTCATGACTGAAGCTCGCGAGTCAACCTTTTAGTAAACGTTGGAGACGATTTGTGTCCCTAGTTCACCAGGAACTCAACTATGGGTGAAAAGCACACAACTCAAGGGGTGAGCCAGCGCAGCAACAGGAAAAAAAACCCCACCAGTGGCTGAAGCCTGGTGTAACGACGCGGGATCCCTACAGACCTGTTAGTTTAGTGGTGCTCGATGGTCAGCCTGGTCCTAAAATAACTCCGCGAGCTCCTATGGATAACAGCAGCATTGGCAGAGGACACGTCTGCATCCGGTGGACGCTGCTGTTGCGTTGTGCATGCTCACAGGAAGTCAAACTTATTAAAGGTGCCTCTGATTGTCTCTCAGTAATAATCCACCAGTGTTATCCTCATTTCTGGTTGCTCTCCAGCCTGAAGAAGCCATGTCCTCTCCAGAAATCGCGTCCCTGTCTTGGGGCCACATGAAGGTGAAGGGATGCTCATCCAGCTACAAGGACTGCAAGGTCTGGCCTGGAGGCAGCCAGGCCTGGGACTGGAGGGAGACCGGGACCAATGTGAGTGAAGCAGATGAGCTGCGGAAGCATGTTTTACAGGTGATTTTACTCTGAGGCGTATTGTGACGGGTCCCTCGTCTGCAGCACTACCCCGGAGTCCAGCCCGCCGACCTGGAGGAGGTTCTGAAGAAGGGAATAACCCTGCTGGTCATCGGCAGAGGCATGAGTGAAGCTCTGCAGGTACGACACCAATGAAAAGTACATTTACTCAGTTACTTAGAAAGCTGGACGATCATAATGAAAATATTCAGTTAAAGAGCAAGTCACCCCCTGCAAGAAACTCACTCCACTCCCACTTCATGTTTGAAAAATGCAACAAATGCTGTTGCCTGGCAAATGAAGGCAGAGCCGCTAACAAATACAGGCTCACAACAGCTTTGTGACATCATAATGTACCAGCTCACGTTATAGTGTACCTCAGCCAATAGAGACGGTAGATTTAAAGTCAAATGCAGTGCAGAGTTTTCACCTGAAGAGGGCGCACCACTGACAGTTTTAGGCAAAGTATTTAAATTTTAACTAAAATGCCAAACTACTGACGACACGTGTCTGCAGCACGATTAGACTCTATCAGAAATAAACAGCTGATTTGGGGGTGACTTGCTCTTTAATGTACGAGTCTGGTTCTGTTCGTGGCGCTGGAGTCGTCTCCGGGCCGTTCGTTGTCCTCCACTATCGCCCCTCGAGGTCTGAAGGTGAGGAAATAAGAAGAAATCTGCAGTTTTGTTTGTAAGCCCTGAAATCAGATCAGCTGCAGCCGAAAGCTTCATCTGTTCGGTTTAATCCCACCACGAGTGTCACGCGACCCAATTAGACGTGTGGTGGAACACGGCCCCACAGCGGCGTCGTGAACGAGTGAAGAAAACGGAACCCTAAAGGCTGTCTTCTCCCCTCAGGTTCCTGCTTCCACTCTGGACTTTGTGACGCACCGCGGCGTGGAGGTGCGCGTCCTGCAGACGGAGAAGGCTGTAGCCGAATACAACAAACTGGCAGTCCAGGGCGCCAAAGTGGGCGGGGTTTTCCACTCCACCTGCTGATGTTGCGTTGGATCTGAACCCCCGGTTGGCTCGGTTACGGTTTAAACGGCCGAACGTTTCTGGATCTGTGGTTTCTTCTTAAGAACTTTAGAGGATTTAAATAAAAACAAACCACTTTAAAAGTGAAGCCGTTCAGCAGGAGATGCACTGGAAGCGTGTTTGTGTGTAACAGATGACTGACGGGACCCTGCTGGGGGCGTTTCTAACCCAGAACGGCTTCAGGTTCTGCAGGAGATCTGAATAAAACTTTGGATTCAACAGAAACACGTCAAGTAGAGGTCTGTCAGTAAAATAAGGTTAAAGTTTCATTTGAGAAGGAAATTTCTGTTTTTTTATGCACACAATGCATGTGAGGAGTCTCCGTCATGCACGTGAAGCAGATGTGCTCCAGCTGTGCGACGGTGGGTTATCGGCGGGTGGGTTTGGGCATGATGAAGACTTTGACGGGTTTGCTGAAGGGGATGGTTCCCTCCACGGCGGCCTCTGCTGGCGCCGGGCTGTCGGTGCTGTCGCTCCATCCTAACTTGCTGGTTGAAGGTGAGGAAAGAGAGGAGGAGGAGGAGGAGGAGTAGGCCAGCAGGAGGCGCACCTCCACCTGCGACGGTTCTGAGGAGCAGAATCAGATTCAGGTCAGCAGGTTTCAGGTGAAGAACCAAAGGGAAGTCCTGTGATACGTGCGTCTCACTGACCCGTCCACGCGGTGTGAGACAGGTAGACCTGTGTGATGAGTCGGTGTCTGTTGGGTCCAGGCTTCCGGAAGTCTCCAGGTTTGGGGTGGATCACATGACTCTGGCCATCTGGATACAGAACCTGCAGACGGAACCGATTAAAAAACGACGACTCAAAGGAAGTCTTGGAAAAGCTCAGATTCTCTGGAAGGCGTGCGCTGACCTGAACTTTGACCGAGTTCTGGGGGTCATGAAGGTGCTCCAGCGTGGCGTCGATATCCAGCGCCACCACCAGGCCAGATGTGAACTTCAGCGGGTTGTCCGACTCCCCCGTTGGCTCCACGATGGTGGCCGTCGCGCGATGGATCTGGTGAAGCACCAAAGCCTGCCGTTTGTGGTCGTTTCAACATTTTCCTGAATAAACACGCCAACGACCCGCGAGCCCTACCTGCTCAGGCAGCCGGAGCTGCAGCAGGCCGCTCTGTCTCAGAGTCGTCTGGAGGATCTTCACCAGCTCCGCTGGTTTACACGACACCAGCCGGGGCATCAGCTCCAGGAGCTTATCCACAAAGCTGTCCTGGAGGTGGGGCAGCTCCGACAGGAACAGCCTGAGGAACCAGACGAACAATCAGGTCCAGAAAGCTTCATCTTGTGTTTCTGCAGCGTTACGTGGAGAAGCTGAACAGACCCCAGCATGAGGAGAGCTTTAGAGAGGAACTGATTGTTTTAACAGAATAAAGCTGGAGCTGTTTGGACTCAAAAATAAGAGCTCCTACGAACGTTACCTCTGAAAAGACTCCACCTCCTGCAGAAACTTCTCACAGCTGCTGATGAGAAGATCCAGCCTATGAAGACCCGAGAGCTACATGAAACATCTGGGCACGCAGTTGCTGTGTGTGTGTGTGTGTGTGTGTGTGTGTGTGTAGACCAACCCTTGTCTGGTGCGAGCCGTCAGGATGAGCTGCAGGGCTTTGGCCTGAAGTCGGACATGATGGATGGTGGCCACCTGTCTGCTCTCCAACCCGCTGTAGAGAAACTCCAGTTTGTAGGTTTCCTCTAAGATCTGCAATCACACAGCTGAGGGTGTTGGTTCTGTCACGCCTGTGTGTGTGTGTGTGTGTGTGTGTGTGTGTGTGTGTGTGTGTGTGTGTGCGCGCACCCACCTGCTGCGCTGCTGCCGTCGCCGTGACGTTCTGTTGGAGGTAGAGTGGGACGGCCACGTTCCACAGCTTCTCCTGAAGAGCCTGAAACGAGACGTGAAGGTTCTGACTCTGAGACGGGCCTTCGGATCAGAACAACGGTCCCGCGGGCTCCTACCTTCATGAGGAGCAGCTGGCAGCGCAGGTAGGTGGCACAGAAATCAGCAGCTCCAGCCAGCTCTGTCTGCAGCTCACCCAGACGCTGCAGGTCTCTGAAACAGGAAGTTGTTCATGTCTAAACAGGAAGTCTGCCTGACAAAATAAAAGTCTCACTGTGTGACGTGAAATGATGCACCACGTCCACCCACCCCATCTTCTGCTCTCCTCAAAGATAAATCTGGTTCCTAAATTCTTTTCCTCCTTTAACATTTTAGCTCCTAAAAATAAAAAAAATGTCCGTAAGCCGGAGCTTCCCGTTTACCGGATGGTGAAGTTCAGCAGGTCCTGATCTCCGGCTGTTTCCAGGTTCTGGATGGAGCTGACTCTGTTCAGGCTCTGCTGGAGGAAGAGTTGGGCTGACTCCACAGAACTAGAACCACAGCTGGAGTCCACAGAGTCCAGACTGTAGACCTGCTTCCTGCCCGGCAGCTGAAACAGGAAGAGCGCTGGTTACCGAGGAGTTTCCTGCTCCCAAAGGCTTCATCGAGCATCTGATTTCATCGTTATTCTTTTATCTAAACTGACTTGTTTTTGTTATTATGACAGTTTTGGTGGATTTCAGAGATTCCAACAGTCTTATGGAAGTTCAGCAGCACTTAGGCTCTTAGGGGACAAAACATCTCAGCTACGGGTTAGCTCTGACCCCCCATGGTGGTTCTTACCCCTTCTCTCCACAGGAGCCGTCAGCAGCACGTTACTGCAGCAGCACGTTACTGCAGCAGCACGTTACTGCAGCAGCACGTTACTGCAGCAGCACGTTACTGCAGCAGCACGTCTTGCTCGCGTAAGCTGCTGCTTGGCCCTTCCCACGAGACGCGAAGCAGCAGGGGAGCAGCTGTCGCCGACCGAGCACGAAGTCACACGAGTGACTTTGTCAGTAAACACAACAACAAGCAGGAGAAAACTACAACATGGTTTGTGTTTTATGTTCTGTCCGTTTTATAATCGCCAATACGGACCTGAAAAACAAAGGAGACCGCTAGCTAGCTGATAACTTCTCACGGGGACGCACAGTTAGTAACCTTTTTTTAAAGTAAAGCAACCGGAAGGCAGTACGTTTCTTTATTCTGAAAATCTCGGCAGCTTTGCTCCGTTTCCGCGTCCGATTTCCTGTCTTTCCTTCCCCAAAAATGTGGAACTTGACCCGTTTCAGAGGCGTCGCGCGTAGAAAATAGAACCGGCGCGTAAAGGCCGCGGCATGCTGCTCCTGAGACGCGGCCGACTCGCGCCGCTGACGGCTCCGGTGGAAAGAAGGGGTCAGGTGAGGAAAACTATCAGGAAGTCCACAGCGTTGTAACTTTCTGGTGAGTCTGGGTTTTAATAACCGTCGACCACCCAGATGGTCTCAGATGTAATGGAAGCAGGAATCGGTCTGTTCCCGAGCGTTTTAGTTCTCACCCTCAGCGGCGGAACGAGGTGAGACAGGCTGTCCCTCAGGTAGGCGTAGTGTCTGAAGGTGTGGTCAGAGAACAGCGCCGGCATGGTGGGACACGACTTTGCAGCATTGAACACCAAAACCAGAACCGCGATGTCTGATGGATGAAAAGAGTCGAGGAGGACAAACGCGGAGCAGAACCGCCACACGGATCTGACACGCAAACACTCGAAGGTCCAAAAACCAGAACACAGCTCGGTTCGAGCTCAGAATGACGTTCAGGGCGTATGAAGGATACAGGCCGGGTCGTCCATGTCTGGTTCTGGAGTGTCAAAATACGGATGTGTGCTGAGCAGCTCGGGAACCAGCGGCAACACCAGCGCGGGGTGGCGGGAGCCCAGAAACTTCAGACACCTGAGAAAGAAACGGATCGTTAACCAACCTGGATCCTCTCAGAGCTGCAGGATAAACGCCGATCCACCGGTAGAAAACACAAAAGCCTCTGGTGTTGGCGTTTGTGACACACAGCAGCTCCTCTGAAGGGAGTCAGGCGACTCCAAACGTCTGAAATCCTCGAGCACAAAACAGTCGGGACTAAATAAAAACACCTGACTTCCTGTTGAGGCCATGGCGGTTGTATGTGAGCTCATTATCCATTTAAATGACTCGGTATCTTGGACTCGAGCCGAGTCCTCTTACTTCCAGACGGAGTTGCGGTCGGTGGGATACTTGTTGAGGTTCTTCAGCAGCTCCAGCAGAGCCAGCTGGATGCACTCTTTAGTGGAGACGTTGGTGTAGCACAGCAGCTCGTGGAGGGCTTCTCTGATGTCCCGAGACGAGTCCTGGACACACAGGGACGCGGTCGGCGTCTTCACTCGTAACCGGAAACACCTCTGAGTGGCGCAGACGAGCACGTACCTCCAGCACGGCCAGAACCGTGTCCAGCTGGTCCTCTCGGAGCGTTATGTGGGTAGAGATCTCTCTCAGCACGTGGATGGACTGCAGCCTCACTTCCTCGATCTCATCGTTGAACATGTCAACCAGGAAGTCCAGACACTTTTCGGCGAAGCTCGGGGACGAGCGGGCGAGCTGGCACAGCGCCTCCACGGCGGCGATGCGGACCTCTGGGGAGAAGCAGATGAACGCCAGAGATTTCATCAAATATCAAAACATGAAACCAACTTTTATTACGAGGTTTATTAATCCAACACGGCGGCGGAAACCTCCCCTACCGAACATCTCGTCCTCCAGGCCGTGAACGAAGGCGCCGCAGGCCCCTGAGGCGATGAGGTTCACGGTGTTGGAGTCCAGCTTCTCCTTGGGAGCGTCATCAGCCCACTTCCTGCCTGAGGAGAACTCTCCGGAAACGAAAAGCTCTTTGGCTCGTTCGTGGGCCGTACGCTTCCTCTGAAGGTTTACAAAACACAGAACATGTTCAGTTTGAGTCGCGTGAGACTCGGCGAGAGGAAAGGCGCGACTCACCCTGAGGTCCGACATGAGCTTCTTGTCCAACGTTTGCTCCAGGAAGTGAGAGCTGACCTGCAGCATCGAACCCTGGAACAGAAAGGCAGCGGCTCACGTTTTTAAAACCACTTCCTGTTTACGTTTTCATCCCAGCTGTTTTTATTTACAGTCTCAAAGGTCATGTGACATCCTGGCAGGTCTTTAGTTGACTTCTAACTTATGGACCTCACCTACTCTGAAAACACGGGACACACTACTTCTGCGTGTGACTCGGAATCTGCCAATCTCAAAGAATGAAAACCCCAAAATTCCACCACCTCCGCTCCGCGGCGCTCCGGCACGAACGCCGCAGCAAAATCGGTCCCGTTGTAGTCAATCAGAGCTGTTCCACCACTGCGGCCGTGCGCCGCCCGCCGTTCCGCCATCCGGCAAAAATAGGATCGATTCTATTTTCGCCGGACGCCGGAGCACCTCCGCAGCGAATGGACAGGAATCACAACGGCCCAACAGGAAAAGGAGCAAGCACAACTTCCGTTTTTCACAATAAATCGATAAACAAAAAGCGTTTTTTGTTTCATATGCACAGGTTTAACAACTTTTAACAACTATCAATGGCGGCTGAAGTTTAAATGCACAAAAATAAGCCATAAAAACAGTTTCCACTATCAAAGTAGTCACCCTGTTGATCCAAACACTGCTGATCTCTCAACACAAATGATGGGCAGATTAAACAGTTCATGCCGATGCTTCTCCCACACAACGGGTGTTTGGATCTAACTTCCGCGTTTATTGCTCGGACTGTATCGCAAGATCTCAAAAATCCCGCGCATGCTTGTTTGCCCCCCTCAGGTCTCCGCACCGGAGCGGAGCCGTTGTAGAGCGGGTACCAGTAAAAATTGAGTTCGGAAGCGAGCGGCTGCGGAGGGCGGGGGCGGAGCGGAGATAGTGGAATTTTGGGGTAAGATTCACTTGTTCACATCTAAACACATGAAAATATTCACGTGTGTGTTTTCTCACCAGCGTTTTAGCGGCCTGCACTCGAACCATCCAGGAGCCGTCACTGACCATGTGACTGATCTTCCCAAAGGCGTCATCGACCAATCGGATCTCCTCGTTGGAGGACGGGATGGGAACAATGCTGATTGGACAGAGAGAGCAACAAATGACAAGTCAAATAAGATAAATGATTAGACGCGCCTATACAGGAAAACCGTTTGTAGCTTAAGTTCAGGAGGTTTCTCTGGAAGTTGTCTCTAAACGTGTATTCGGTCATTTCTCACGGGACCACGGTTTAATGGAACAGGATCGGAAAAACGGGAAAATCGGTTCTGGGTTTGTGTGTGGATAACACGTTTCCAGAAGGAAAAGAATCGTGACTCTTTAGTTAAAAGCGTTAAAAACCCTAAAACGTGCTTACAGACATGGCTGATCCGGATCAGCTCTTTGGTTTGATTTGGTTTTTCTAATTCGTTAACGATCCTACTTTTATACCTGAGCAGGGCTGCACAATATATCGTACATATATCGTTAGAACAGACAAATATCGCAATGAATGGTCAGCTCAAATGTTTGCTACCCATAATGCATTCTGTCAAACGTAAGCATGATGTTTTTTTAACAAATCAAATAGAGCTCTTCACCCATTTGGGTGGGTTCTCGTAGGTTAGAGCCCCGCCCCCGAGGTGGACGGCACTTCATTTAGCCCAGTGGGCCACATTGAGGAAAATCTAGTCCCAAGTGGGCCGGACCGGTAAACAACTTCAGATTCATTTCTTTGTTTTAATACAATCAATATAAAACAAGGCTGGAGCCTGAGGACAGTGTAGTACAAGTACAACACCTGAAGTGTACTTGAAAATTTGAAATAAAAAAAAAAATCAATAAATGAAAAAAAAAAACATTCAATTCAATTCAAGTTTATTTATATAGCGCCAAATCACGACAAGAGTCGTCTCAAGGCTCTTCACATTCCAATTCAGGTCAGTTCATTAAGCCAATCAGATTCCTTAGTGATTCAGTGAGCTTACAGATCACATGGCTAGATCAGTTTCATGCAGCACTTAAAGTATATTTGACTCATTTTACTTTACATCTTTTAGCTTTCACCAGCACATCAGCATCAGAAGTCACATCCTGAGTGGCGGCCAACTTCAGGATGGGATTCAAGTTCTTGTGTGAGCCTTGAGCGCAGCTTTGTTTTATTTATACTCATTACAGAGAAAACTCGCTCACAATGATAAGTTTATTTTCACTCTACATCGTAAAGTATGAAAATAAAGTTTACACAACCATCCCGCGGGCCGGATTTAACCCGCTTGCGGGCCGGATCCGGCCCGCGGGCCGCATGTTTGACACCCCTGATTTAGATGGTTTGCTAACACCTGAGTTAGCTTAGTTCTGCTCTTTCTGCTGATTCTGCTTTTCTGGGATCCACTTATCGCCTTTTCTTCTTCATTTCCTCACATCTTTTGCTCTTCTCATTTTGATGATTTTTTTATTTTTGTTTTTGTTCCCGAGCTAAGTTTTTATTTATCGCAAGTAATATCGTCATCGCAATATTAATCATTATGGAATATTGCAGGTTCTCCTAATATCGTGCAGCCCTACAACGGAGTAAGTGCTTCTTCACCTTTCTGGGTAGAGCTGGCTGAGAACCCACACCATCTGCACAGCTGCAGAGCGAACCTGCTCGTAGTCGTCCGACAGCAACCTGCAGGCCTGCAGGCACACAGGAAAACGCAGCGTTAGTACACTCTAAGGCCACTCCTCTGGAGAAGATTCAACAACAGCTGGACCTGATCGTAGATGATCTGGTGGATCTTCATCCCTCGGTCATGAAGCTGCAGCTGGAAGACAGAAATAAGACCTTGTGTAATCCGCTCAGCGAGGATCGGGACAAGGATTTGTGGTCCGCTGTGTCCTACCATGGCTTTGATGGCTGCAGTTCGGACTCGGGGGTCCTGGTCGGCAAAGTAGTTACTGATGATACTCTGAACATCCCTCGCTCCTCCTGAAGTCAAACGCTAAACTCACAACTTGACTTTTTAAAAGATAATCTTGGGAGACATTTCCAAACATTATTTAATTAAATGAAAGCTGCCGTTTGAATTAATTCTACATACATATATTTTGTAAAGGTGGTAGAACAAACACACTTGGTATTTCTAGAAACTATTTTAGGACAAACTGATGTTTCTCAAGTCTTTTAGAGACTTTCTGTGAGCGTCGAACTGATTTTGGTCCAGATCCCGACCATTCTCAGATGTCCTGATTCAAGATTTATCGCCTAAAATTAATCTTAAACTTCTGAAATCCTGTTCAGGAACCCTTTAAAAGATAAAGTCAGGTTCTCTGGAAACAAGTTTTTACACAAACGACGACTCGAACCTGAAGACGAGCTCGGTCCATTGCTGTCTTTAGTCAGAGGGGCGTCCACCAGGCCGAGACATCCCAGGAGCTGCAGACATTTGTTCCTCACCCCGAAATACGTGTCAGACAGGTGCTAGCAGGAGGGAAACAGACCGAATTTTACTGAGCAGCAAGGCAGCAGCCTTGTTATTCAACAGCTCTGTTCATTTCTGTTCTTTTATCTGGGGTCAGGTCACAGCAGCTCCAGCAGGGAGCCCATACTGTCTTCTCCACAGCAACCTCCACCAACGCCACCAGTGGGACCCCGAGGCATTTCCTAGTCAGCCTGGAGACAAAATCCCTCCATCAGGTCCCGGGTCGACCCCGGGGCCTCCTACTGGACGGACGTGCCTGGAGGCATTCTGACCTGATGCCTGAACCACACTGACAGTAGAAGCCCTACTGTGTACTTCATGTTACCTTGCAGGCCACCTCGATGAGCCTCAGTCTAACTGCTGGGCTCTCAGGAAGCTGTGACCCAATGACCAGCAGAGTGTCCAGCAGCTGAGCGAGGACCTGGTGGGACTCTGCACACGCACAAGAAGAAACACGAATGAACACGGTCAGCCTCTGTTACAAATAAGATACTAATTCTGAAAGGGATCAAAATAAAATGTAAACCAATCTGTGTGTAAACACGTCTTACTCTCGTTGCCGAGTGTGTTAATGGCATCATCAACGATGCAGTCGGGGCTGAAGCCATTTGTTTTGGATAGCAAACCCAGCAGAGAAGCGATCTTCAGCCTCACAGAGTTATCCGTCTCCTGAGAGGAGGACATCGTCATCATCTAGATGAGCTTAGTGTGTTCATCTCTGCTTCAGGTAAAGCAAATGTGCTGGATGCTAGGACTCTGAGCCGTACCTTGTAGTAGTGCTCCAGCAGGATGCGGATAACACCCTCCACGCTCTCCACCTCCACAGGTTTGCGGGCAAACTGCAGCAGGTACTGCAGGGCGTCGGTGGAGTTGGTGGCTTTACAGAGGTCAACATGCAGCGCTGCCGACTTGCTGGGTTTGGACAGACGCAGCTTCTTGGCTTGAGCTTCTTCATGAGGAATCTGCAAACGAACAAAACAGCCAGAGAAGCAAAGTAACATCAAAACAAAACAAAAAAACAGGAAATGACCTCTCTGTTCACTAAACGTTTTTTTCTGTGTTAAATTATTCAGCAGCAAATATGTTACTGATGTTTTTTAAATTTCTATTGATTATTTTGTATATGTATGGGGTTTAACATGATTATCCTAACTTATGAAATAATCGATTTACATATCAAAGTAAGAAGATCCTGAGAGTCGGGCTATTGGGACGAAAACAGCAAGAACCCACACATGACAGCTGATCTACTTCTGCACCCAACAGCACTTTCATTGGTTTTCAAAGTGAAGAGTTTGATTTACTGTAATTGACAAAGATCTCCAGGTATCGTTCAAAAGAATGCAATAGCACCTCTGTGCACAAATAAACATGTAAAAAAAACAAATTACAAACTAAAATCTGAGTCAGCAGGAGCTAGCATGACGGAAGCTAACAAGCTCGGTTTTAGATTTCAAACTCGCTGCAATCCAGAATATTGTTAAACGACATTTCGTAACAAAAACGAATGATAGATTTAAATGCTCAAATTAAGAACAAACCCTCCCAACGCGAACGTATGTTGTTGTGCTACGTTAGCTTAGCAGCTATTTAGCAAGTGTGTCCAAATTTCAGTTGAACGCTTGTTCTTCTTTTTAGCTGAACAAAACGTAAACAACATAAAGATAATTTATTTGTTCTCACCTGGACTACTTTAGAAAATTCCTCATAAACTCGCTTTTTCAAATGAGCTGCCATTTTAACGTAGTTACGCCAGCAAACATGCAAGTTTGTTCCTCGACGCTTCCCGTAACTACGGATAGTCTAATCAAACGCGTTTCGTAAATGCCTCTTCACACACACACACACACACACACACACACACACAGACACACACACACACACACACACACACGCACACGTACACACACGCACACACACACACACACACACACACACACACACGACAGTAAATTTGCATTTTGACTACAATTATAAATCTACTACGGGATTTAAAGTGATTTTGCTTTGTCTATTGATATAAAGATGATTATTTACGAATAACATTGCCAGTTTGCAACTACAATAAAATTTAAGAAATAACAATAGTTTTAATTTTGACTTTATTAAGTAAGATGGACTATAAATAAATTAGTTTGCATTAAACCAGATTAAAACTTTAGAATAGAAAAATAATAATGAGTAAATTATTATGAAAATGGCTGTGAAAGTTGTCTTTCCTTATTAATGAAATCTTACTTATTTAAATCTATTTAGATCTTATGCGTGGTAAACAAAGAACACTTTTTCAAAGTTCAGCAGGTTGAATGTTTTTAGATAAGATAATTCGATATGCAAACAAAACAACAAGATATTGGCTTTTTGAATGTTTACACTTATTTCCATACATCTCAGATATTTTAACTGACAACATTCCAAAATGTGTATAAATGTGTATAAAAATAACAAAGAAGCATATTTCTCAGATTTTTTTTTATTTTTCTTTATTTGCACAAACACCACAATATTCAATTCGATTCAAGTTTATTTATATAGTGCCAAATCACAACAAGAGTCGTCTCAAGGCACTTCACATAATAAACATTCCAATCCAGGTCAGGTCATTAAGCCAATCAGAAAATAATGTTTCCTATATAAGGAACCCAGCAAATTGCATCAAGTCACTGACTAGTGTCAGTGACTATACAGCAATCCTCATACTAAGAAAGCATGCAGCGACAGTGGAGAGGAAAACTCCCTTTTAACAGGAAGAAACCTCCAGAGAATCCTGGCTCAGTATAAGCAGCCATCCTCCACGACTCACTGGGGATCGAGAAGATAGAGCACACACGCACACACACACACACGCACGCTCGCACGCACACATCTAACGTCAAGGAAAGCAAAAAGGACAGTAGAGAAAATAAGAATTGTTTTCTGTAAATCGTCTTGTTAAATAAAAGTTTTATTTAAAAAAATTCAAGGTCATTTTACTTTGTTGACCCAATGAAATAAAAGAAGTGAAAAATAATTCAGATTCAGATTACAGAAGACTTGTTTGACAAACCAAATGTACATTTCAAAAACTAAAATAAATTCACTGCCACATAGAATTTTTATTCTGTTTACTTAAAATATCTGTAATCTCATTACCTCAACAAGCTGAATACTTTACAAAAAAAACTTTTCAGTTGTTTTACATTTGAAAAATCTGATTTGAAACAGAAGTCTGGGCAGCAGAACACGCCCTCTTATCTTTCTCTTTTCTCTTTTTTATTTAATTCAAAATAAAAACAAGTAAAACATACAAACAATAAGAAATACATAACAGAAATATCAAATTTGAACGAAAAGAAGCAGAATGAAGAAAAACAGCTTATAATTTCTGCCCCCTTTTGCAGAAGAAATAATCTATTTATATATAATTACCATGTGTCACACACACACACACACACACACACACACACACACACACACACACACACACACACACACACACACACACACACACACACACACACACACACACACACACACACACACACACACACACACACACACACACAGATTCATTTTAAACTGTTTCCTGTTCTAAATTCCAGTGTGATCATGATCATTGATTTAATTTACATTTTCATAATTATTTAGTACACTCAATTTCAAATCAAATCAAAGATACTTTATTAATCCCAGAGGGAAATTAGAGGTACAATTAGAAATTAGAGGTCCAAATCTAATCTAGAACACTAAACAGCAGTAACATTCCCACCTTGATTCTCAAAAATGGCTGAAAGTCAGCAGTCAGTGAACCTCCTGCAGCTCGACGACAGCTGCGGACATCTTGGCCTTCTTGTGGTCCGTTTTCCAGGTGAAGATGCCAACGATGCTGACCATGAGCGGCAGAGCCACACACAGCAGGATCCTGCTGACGGGCAGCTCTACGGGACACCGCGCCGTGGCTAAAGGCTCCAGGCTTTGCTCTGTGGAGGGACTCTGGAACAGAAAGGAGGATCTGAAGTCCACCAGTGCTGCCCTGCTGTTCTGTGTGGTGTTCACCTGACACCTCCACCTCCTGTTGTTGTCCTTCGCCTGCAGCTTTATGAGCAGAGTGACGTTACAGCGAGTGTTTTCAATCAGCTGGTACCTGCAGAAGAAATCAGAGAAATCTGGTGAGGAGGTTGGATTTCTGCCGATGCATCCACGAGTTCAGTGAAATCCTTCATGTGAGGGTATTTCACTCATGAGCCGCGAGGACAGAAGAAAGCCTTTACCATGAAAACACTCTGAGCTACAAAAGCAAATCAAAGTTTTGGTGATAAACGTGGAAAAACCTGCCGCTTTAAACGCGTTTTATTAAGTTTCAAAACAAAAATAAAACAAGAAAATATGCAGGAAGTAAAAATGAAACAGTAAATAACAGAGGTGTGACCAAGTCACTGCTTTGCAAGTCACAAGTCTTTCCAGTCAAGTCCAAGTCAAAGACAACCAAGTCCAAGTCAAGTCCAAGCCAAAGACAACCAAGTCCAAGTCAAGTCCAAGTCCTTAACTTTGAATTTTCAAAGCCATCTGTCCAAATTGATGACGTTGATAATAAATAAATTCCAGGAATAAAGATTCTTGAAGCTTCGTTTATTTACTCAAACAAGCAGAAACTGAACCTGGTTCTAAACAAAGCGCTGCTGCGTCCGGCAGAGCAACATCTAACCCACAACCAAGAATCATTCATGATTTTTGCCGTGTCGGGTCACTTTCGTGCTAAAATATCGAATATGCTCGAGTCATCAACAAGTCAACAGATGCAAGTCGATTCAAGTTGCAAGTCACTGGCGTTCAAGTCCGAGTCGAGTCGAAAGTCTTTATAGATTTCAACAAGTCAGAAGTCATTAAAATAATGACTCAAGTCTGACTCGAGTCCAAGTCTTGTGACTCGAGTCCACACCTCTGGTAAATAATAATAATAAAAAACATTTTAAATAAAATATTCATTGTAAATTTTCTAAAAAATGCTCCAAAATCAGAACGGCGTGCGCCGGTCCAACGCTGAGGCCTGCTTTTGAATTTTACCTGTAAAATCACGAAACATGAACTGTTTTCTAAAGAGCTCGGAGGTTTGTTTTTAAGAGGTCGCACCGCGCGATCAGAGGTCTGTACAGTTTTCTTCTGATCTCCTTTTCTGGATCAACACGACAGAAACTAACAAGAAAACACAGAAACAATGAATTTCAACATTCAGTAGTTTTAGATTAAAAACAAAAATAGTTACTTTTGTTCAAATAACTCAAATTAAACTTTTGAAAATTTCTAAATTAAGACTTGATTTCCTCAAAAATCAAAACAGACCAAAATGAAACAGAATCAAATATTGGAGCGTGGAACGGACGTCATCTTTTGGGGTCCCAGGATGTCAAAAACCACGACACCCACCTGGAAAATCCTGAGTAGGTGAATAAATAGAATTTTTGGGGTTTCCTGAAAAGATTAAATTGATGTTAATTTAAACTATTATTTATTTTGTGGTTTTGCTCTCGTGTTCGAGTCCCGGCTGTTCCTGCAAACCCAGAAACGAGCGGTTTTGTGTTTATTTGGATTTTTTGTATTTTACACAGCACCTTCTTGAGTCCTGGAACCCCCCAAGGCTCTTTACAACAGTCAATAATCCATACACACATTCATATGATGAGCTACATCCTAGCCACAGCTGCCTTGGGACGCGCTGAGAGAGGCGAGGCTGCCGAGTCCTCCGACCACCACCAGCAGCAAGCTGGGTTAAGTGTCTTGCCCAAGGACACAACAGCATCATTGTCTGGTGGGAGCCGGGATTGAACCTGCAACCCTCTGATTACTGGACAACCCGCTCTACCTCCTGGGCCACTGACGAACTCAGGAAGGAGTTAGGAGGTGTTGGAGCTTTTCCCTCCTCACAAACATTTTACCCCAAAGGGAGAAAAGAAGATCTTTAAGAGTTTTCACCAGCTTGATTTCTTAATCTGGCCTTTAAAATAATCTGATCTTTAAGATAATCCTCAGATTATCTTAAATGTTAGCATATATTTATGACCTGGTGTTCTGCGGCAGCTGCTCCCCGTTCTCATCCATCCACTGGAGCCGGAACACGCTGGAGTACGACTTGCAGCTTCCTGCGTCGTAGTAAGTGAAGAGGACACAGCTGAGGGTGAGGGTTCCTCCCGCCCGCAGGTCAGTGATGGGGGAGGATGAGTCGATGCTGAGGAGGGAGAGGTAGATGTCGGTCACCTCCTGCTGGTTCTCCAGGCAGACGTAGGAGCCAGCGTCCTCCACCGTGAGGCTGTGCAGGATGATGGAGCAGTTGGACGTGATGCTGATACGACTGGATTTGTCCGAGTCCATCCTCACCCGACCCCCGCTGACCTCCTCAGTGTACCGGACCAGCCCCCCTTTAAAGAAGGTCCACGTGACGGAGGAGCAGTCCGAGGGGAGCTGCTTGCTGCAGGGCAGGAGGGCTTGCCCCCCGAGTCTGCCGTAAACAAACACCGAGTCCTTCTGACCTGTCACACCTGGAAACAGGACAGGTGTCATCAGCTTGGTAAAGAAAATCCCAAAGCTTCATTTGTTTTAAAATTCCACACAGGGTGTCGGTACGACTCTAGATTACCCCCCCCCCCCCCCCCCCCCCACACACACACACAGTGTGGTCAGTGAGAGCTCCGCTGACTAGAAGCTCCTAAGTCAGGTGGTGAGTGAACTGCAGCAGGTAAACGACTCCTACCTGTGTGGAGCAGGCTGGAGAGCAGCAGGACTCGGAGCAGGACCTCGATGCTTCTCGTCATGTTTGTGCCTCTCAGCTCCGTTGCTGCTGCCTTCTGTTGAAGCTGCCTACGTTTCCTGTCACCCTGAAGCAGCAGCCAGGAGGGAGACGCGTGTGAAGCGTTCACACGCTCTGAATCACACAGGGGACGTAATTTTCACTTTAGAAGTGTGGGGGACACGGGGGGGGGGGGGGGGGGGTATCTTTACAGTATGCTCTAATGGGAAACAGGCTTCAACACAAACGGTTGTTTTCCGCTTGGTCCTAGAGCTCAACCAGTGTCAATTTAATATAGCGTAATATTGTTTTGGGATGGTAAAAAGTGCAGGGGTCAAAACTTGACTTTGGAAAAAGTGGGGTGGACACGTCCCCCCTGTCCCCCCCCAAAAATTATGTCCATGGAATCACGCCAGAGCAACAAACCATGCACAGGAAAAACCCAGCAGGCCTCACCACGGTCGCTGTGTCGTTTAGTCCTGACGTCTCTGTTCTTTCAGTTAAAGATTCGGAGACTGTTAAAATCACCACATTTAGGGACGCTCATTTTTAAAACCCTGCAGTTAAACTAAAACACAACTGGTTTTCAATCATCACTGCGGATCTCTAGTCTTCATCTGATCCCACTCTGTTTTTAATTCCAGGACATGTTCCTGCTGGTGAGGCTCCAACGTCTGTAATCACCTAAAAAACAACCCAACATCCCAGTGACCTTCTGGTTTTTGTCACAAACACGCCAGTGTCTCTGTTGTTCCGAGGTGTGAAAAGCGGTCGTAAGCATCTTTTCTCCTCCGGGGCTTCTGTTTGTTCTAGAGGAAGTGTAATTATGACACGTTGTGGTGAAAAGCTGCACCAGAGCTGCACTGTTGTGACACGAGGGGCAGAAAGTTCATTTGACCTGAAAAACGCAGCCCCTTTCCTGCAAACTGGCGGCGTTTTATTTAACAGCTCAGCTGAAAATAAAACCAACAGGAGACAGAAGGAGAAGTGCACGCTCCACTCGACTGGAAACAAAAGTGTGTGAGGCTGCACGAAAGCGGCTGGTGGTTGCACGGGTTCAATGGTCGTGCTTTAACACGTCTTCCTTTTGTGGGGTTAGTTGTTAAGCAGCTGCTTTGATTTCACCTCAGTTTATGTTTATTTATTTAGCAGACGCTTTTATCCAAAGCGACTTACAGTTTATAACCTATAGGGCGTGCTGTGATCTGTGGGGGGAACCGGAGTACCCGGAGGAAACCCACGCATGCACGGGGAGAACACGCAACTCCACGCAGAAAGGCCGCAGCCGAGTTTCGAACCTGCGACCTTCGTGCTGCGAGGCAACAGTGCTAACCACTGCGCCACCATGCAGCCCAGTTTAGAACCATCAAGTGTTTTATCTTTAACCCGTTTGAGAGCCAAATAGCAGAAACCAGTGCATTTGGAATCGTACTGGTTCTGTGATTGGTTAGTGAGGAGCTGGTGAAGAAACTTAGCCTCAAAGTGTTTAAATCTGAGTTTTTTCTGCACTTAATCCTAATTTTAGAATTATTTCTACGTCTTCGTTCTGACTTTCAAACACAGTTAAAGTCCTCCTGCAGATCAATCTGTAATCGGACTCATCCGGCCACGTCTTTAATGCCAACAACGCTGAATCGCACTAAAACGAACTTTACTCATTCGGATTCTGACGTTTTCCACATCGAAGAGAAATCTTCACCTGAGAAATGGATCAGATTGTGACACCTGGTCCACGTTGCACATGCTCGTCCTGCAGACGGGACAAACGCGGCCCAGGACGGGGGACTGTCTTCTTCCAGCTCTTGGAGAGTTCAGACGCTTTTTTTTACTCCTCTCTCTCCCTCCTCATCCCAAGGCTCTTTGTCTGTCTTTGGGTTCTGGAAACTGGAAATGATTAAAAATGGATCTGGTCAGTTGGTCTCTCAACGCGATTGACAATTTTTTTCAACAATGGGAACGGGAGAAGGGGCTCCCGAATGCCCCTCTGGGACAGAGCCAGCTGGGCACATCATGGACTCCTGGAAACAGTGGAACCGGTTCTGCCTCTCAGCTGTCAGTAGAGGATTCTGAAGATGTTTGGATATTCGTCGTTTTGGTGTCGGAATTCCTGCTGTTTGGCCTGAGCAGTAACCTGGCATACCGGAAAATTAATGAGCTGTCCAGGAATATTGGCTTAATCCCGGAGCTCAGGGATGGATTACACCGCGCTGTGAACACACAAACTCATATAATTGTCGAGATGAGTCGTAAGCTTGGAACTTTGGCTGAGATTCAGGCTCTGGCACAGAAGGTGGATTCCATCAAGGAGCGAGTTGATGGATCAGCACGGATTGGGATAGATTAATTACGCCATTATTGGATCTCGAGGGGTTGGAGACCAACAGAACACTAAGGCAGAGAGGAAATTATCTCTGTCTGTCCCCAAAACAATTCTTATCTGAATCTGGTGCCCTTGAGCCTGTGAGGCTGAAATGTAAACTCCCCCCTCAGAAGAAATGTGGAATGCTGCCGTCGCTATGGAAACCCTTTCTCCCTATCCCAGCCTGGGCGGGACTGCGACCGGTGAAGGCCGTGGAACCGTATCCCTCCCCTGTCCAAACGGAGGTGATGAGCGCTGCTCCATGCGGCTGCACGCGCTGAAGTTAGGAGAGTCCCAACCCTACCTCCCCACCTAGTGGACACTTATGTTGTGTAATGTCTGAAGTCTGTTGCATTTCTGTCTGAGGTGTTTTATTTGCATAGCACAGCTGCCCTCCCTGTGGACGATAACTCTGAAGTGCCGTTTTTCCCTCCACCTGACTCTATCCTCATATGAACCCTCTTGATCTATTACGGTAGCACGACTCGTGTCGCGAATGACCACAGTCACCGATTCTTCTCGTGTGTCTATGTAGGTATGTCTGATCTCAGAAGTGTGTGTACTGAACCTCTAATTTCCCTCTGGGATTAATAAAGTATCTTTGAATTGAATTGAAGTTGACCCCGCTAATCCTCTCGTCCTATTTTATTGCTCTTTTTCTCACTCTTCTCCCAGGAGCGAAGGCCTCTGAACAACACAGATCCTGGGATCATAAGAGGGCTCAAACTGTTCCACCAAGACAAGTTTGTCAAGACAAGTGTTTGGTCCGAGCGGACATGTTGATTTTTCAAACGTAGACTGCGGTGAACTGAACTCCTATCTGGGTGCTTCAGCAGTCAGCCTTGGCGTGAAGATGGACGGTGCATTCTGCATGGATGCTCATGTGGGTACTGTAGTATCCTCTTCATGTTCTCATTTAAGACGTTTGGCTAAAGTAAAGCCGTTTTTATCTAGACGCGACCTTGAGACTGTAGTTCATGCTTTTATTACCTCACGACTCGACTATTGTAATTCCGTTCTATGTGGTGTAAGTAAGGGGACTGTAAACGGCTGCAGCTTGTCCAGAATGCTGCAGCTAGATTCTTGGACAACAAAAGGAAGCATGAACACGTCACACCCATTTAGGCTGCTGTTGATTTTAGAATTGGTTTTAAACTTATTTTAATGGTGTTTAAGGCGCTGAATGGTGTGGCTCCAGCCTATTTGACGGAGTTGCTGCAGCCATATGCTCCGGCCCGGTCACTCCGCTCTGAGAACCAGCTGCTGCTTGTGACTCCTAAGGCCCGGTTAAAGTTGAGAGGGGACAGGGCGTTCTCTGTTGCTGGTCCTAACTATTAGGGGCTGAGTTTTTAAAATGAGGCTGAAAACCTACTTTTATGATCTGGCTTTTCATTCTGTGGGTTAGCAACTGTTAATGTTTTATATTTTGTAATTCTCATTTGTGGTTTTAATTATGTCTGTGGCGCTATCTGTTTAATTGTTTTATTCTATTGTTGTACAGCACCTTGGTGGCATGCTCATGCCTGTAAGGTGCTTTATAAATAAAGGCTGAGTGAGTGAGTGAGTGAGTGAGTGAGTGAGTGGTGCCTCCGAGGGAGGCGTTTCAGGTCGGTGCTCCTGGGAGGAGACCTCAGGATCAACCCCGGAGAAGCTGAAAGGAATATTTCTCCGGTCTGGGAATGTTTTGGCAACCCGCTGGAGGAGCTGGGGATTGTCTTGGACTCCCTGGTCAAGCTGCGGAGCTGGAGGAGTGAAGTGAGACGGGATGACGTGGATGGATGTCCTTTTCTTCTAACTTGAATGTGTCAGACAAAAGGTCCGTTTCTTTAAACTGGAAAAGGTGTTTGTTATCTGCCGACAGGTGCAGCAGGTCTGAGGCGGGCCCTCGTAGTCGAGAACGAATCAAATGGATGCTTGGGTGGACGTGTGCAGACTCGGCTGGTTTGAACCGCTGGTCGTTTTGCTTTCTCATCTAACAGGATGTGGTCTGACGGATACGAACTCGCTGCTTCTACCGTCTCAGCTTTGGGACATTTCTGCTTCCCTCTCATGTGTGTGTGACGCGGTTTTGCCCTCGGCGTCTGAAATCCCCCAGAAAGCTGTGAAAATGTTCAGACGGTGATGCGTCAACACCCGTCTGATGTAACCCCTCACACACGTAAATGACAGGACAGAAAAAGCTTCAGATTTTTATTTAACTTGTGCAGCTCGTCCTCCTTCCGTCACAGACACACAAAGAGCAAAAACAAAGGAAAAAGAAGTTTTACTGATGTTTTCGGTTTAAAATCTCTGGAAACTCCATCTGTTGGTTTGCTGTGCAGACCTGAGCGTCCGCCCGGTCACCACCAGGTAAAGGTGAGTTTGTAGAAGAAGTCGTAGCTCTTGGAAAGGAAGCTCCGCTCTGCCACGTGCTGCTCAAAGGTCACCTGGTAGCCTCGACTCCCGATGTCCATCGTCACACAGTCCAGCAGGTCTTTGACCGACGGCGCCCCCTTCCACGGCCCGAACGTCACCACCGACTCCTTATTGGCCGCCAGGCTGTTTATGGCGTTGTCATAGAAACCCAGCTCCTCCTCCGTTCGCAGCACACAGATGAGGATGGTGGAGTGGCGTGCAGCGACTGCCTCGGCTCGGGCGATGCGGATCAGAACCTGGGAGACGAGGAACATTTTCATCTCCGACAAGCTGCTGGAGTTCTGCCCTCAGAAACGTCCAGAAGCAGTTAAAACGTGTTTTAGCCCCTTTAAAAGTCGCGATCAGTTATTAAAGGGACTTTATGGAGTTTTGAATTTTTATGCTCGCGATTGCCCCCTCAGGCCAAAAGCGTAACAGCAGCTTCAATAGGAGGCTCGTGCACGAGGCGCGCATGCTGTACGTGCACACTCCTTAACGAAAATAACAGCTGAGACAGTCCCGTGTGTGTGTGTGTGTAGGAGAACATGCAGCTAATTAATTAAATAATGTGGTTCTGTACCTTTCTCTTCAGCACAGCCGACAAAGGTTTATGATGGGTCAGTCCTCCTGCATGCTCAGATCATTCCCTTCCCTTGCTTGAAAAATTGTTCCAAAATCAAAGTTGAACCCACATCTTTTTTATCTGTGAATTCAATGCCGTTCGGCGAGTCTCAAATAAAAATTTGGACATCTTACTGTAAAAAAATATACCATTAATGTAAAAAAGAAACTCTAAATAAACTATGTTTACATCCAGAATTGAGCCCGGGTCTTCTGCACGAGAGTCAGACATCTTACTAGGTGAGCTAAAGCACCAGTGTTGTTGTTTGTATCTGTAACGTTTATATCCTTGATGACAGCTGAAACAACGTCAAACCAAAGAACGGTTCGGAGTGAAAATGGCTATTTTGTTGCTAATTAGCAGGAAATATCTAGAAGAAAGTTCTACAGAAAGTAGCTAAGGGTCCTCAGAAATGTAGCTAGCTTTGTCACTAGGCGTTAGGAACAGCGACAAAGTGGCACTGCCTCTCTCTCTGCTGCTAAAGCTACGGATAGCAAATGCTACGGGCGATGCCTGAGCGTGAACGCGCATGAAGCAGCCTGCTCGACCCGAGCATCTCTCTTTTTCTGTGATTTTACAGAAAAACAGGCAATCACAGTAAAAATGCCAGGGCTCATTCTACAGGACCAGGGCGTTGCAGGAGAATGTATGAAGAAGACGTTTATTATTTCTATTCATGTTTTGGCGGTCAGACTTCCATAATGCCCCTTTAAGTAAAAAAAATCAAGCTGGAAAAACTCAGTTTCATCAAGTCACCTCTAAAGTAAGTTTGCTGCGATGGTGAATTAGGACAAGTGGTGCTCGCTGCAGAACCACAAAGGCGGAGCTGCACCAGTCAGCCCCGCCCATTCCATCAGAGTCAGTCCAATTCCTTCCAGTTGTCAGACTTGATAGCATTCTGGAACCAAAGAGGGTGTTATAGCTAATATCATCTAAAATGCAAGATTGAGAACGGAGTTGAGAGGTTAATTGAACTGTTTTTGTAAAGGTTCCGTATAATTAAAAATCTAAATTTTTGAACTTTTAATCATGTTATATTGTCATTTCCTCATAAGAAACATGCCAAAGCCATTTTTGGCCTCATTCATGCATTTTCCTCCCATCTCAGCTTCAATTTGGTCTCCTCCCCCGAAGCAGGTCTGGTCTTGGTTCTCAAATCTGGATATTCTGTGAATTTTCTGACAAATTATCTCTGAAATGACTTCTACTGAGACACCGCCAATAAACCATACATCCCATCTACAAAGACACACTGGATGGACAATTACATGTGACGCCACCTGCTTGTTATCAGATTTAGTGGTGAAGTGGTTGTGGTCTCAGCTTTGCATGTAGTTTTGCGCAGGTTCGCCTCCCGGTAGCGGCTCAAACTTTTTTCTTGCTTTCTAGCTACACTTGCCACTACTATGTTTTTAGCCATTTATTGGTATACCGTTTAAAATATAATGACTAATGTGTTTTTATTTTTTTGTTTATTTAGCCAGTGTGAGTCCATTTGTGAGCAGAGTTTCAACTAAAATGCTGTTTAGGAACGACCAAATTCAAAGAACTTGTAGAGACAATAAATATTTTGCGGAAAATAAACATTACAACTAAAATATAAACAAATTAAATGTTTCAGTTGGCTAAATAGATTGCTGCCGACCTCACTGAGAGTCGAACCGGCATCAGCTGAGAGGAAAGCAAGACTTGACTTTGACAATTTTGCCACTGAACTACCAGAGAACACTAAACAATTGTCTTTAAATGCTGTTGTAGGTCGCTTTTGTTGGAGCGGCTGTGGGCAGATAGAAAGAAACCTTTTCATTTTGGGATATATTCAGGCTTTGTCATGTAGCGAGTTATATTTATCTTGTTTAATTGGAGCACAGACAGTTGTAAACTAGTAACAGCCGTAATTCATGTGGGTCAGGTTAGTTTGCGATTAAAAAAAACAAAACAAAACAAAAACCCAGAAGAAGTCAGTGGGCTAGGCTGTTTGCGTGAGTGGGCGGGGCTGACTCTGGTGCAGCTCCGCCTCTGTGGTTCTGCAGCGAGCACCCTCTCCAGTAGGAGGACACGTGCAGATGAGCGCTCAAACTGAAATGTTCCTAAAACTGACCACTCAGCTTGATTTAACCCTTTAACCTCCACACCAAGAAGAAAGTTAGAATTTGTTTTTACTCATTTTGGGGCAAAATCAAATGTAAATTAACGTAATAATAATATAAACTAACATTAGCAATGTTAAATATTCACACAGCTCCATATTTTTTAGACCTTTCATTGTTTGCTTTAGATGCTCATGAAGATTAATTAGGCTGTAAAGCTTTATGTCCTTCTTTGGAGCCCGTACCGAAGAGGACACCTGAAGTCTCACCTCGATGTTCTCTTTGTAGTGGGGGACTCTGGACAGGAACTGCTGCCGTCCCACCAGCTCTCCAAACATCTGAGGCGTCTCCTCCAGACGTTTGACGAGAGCTTTGATGCCGTAGTGAACCGCCTCTTCATGAACCTGCACAGAACCAGTTCAACTGTAAAAACTCTCCAACGCGTCTGTCCGCGAGGACTCACATCTCAGACCTCCCGGATGTTCTCCGTGGGCAGCTTCTCCGACCTCAGGAACTCCAGAACCGGTCCAAAGTGAGTCCCGTCACGGTCGATAAAGAGGCGTCCCTGAGCATCGATGCGGGGTTTGGGATGCCCACTGAACAACTCCGCCAGCCTGGAGTCCGGGTGTTTTCTGAGCGTGCTCAGTGTGGTGCTGAACAGCTGACCCCCAACATTCAACTGGACCACAGGAGAGGGCTGAGGAGAACATGTAGGACCAAATGTTCGGATACATTTAGTTAATACACAAAGATGAGCGGAGCCATTTCTGGATTCAACTTAAAATGAGCATAAATGCGTGCATGGACGTAATTTTTTTTGGGGGGGGGGCAGGGGGGACATGTCCCCCCCACTTTTTCCAAAGTCAAGTTTTGACCCCTGCACTTTTTACCATCCAAAAACAATATTACTTTATATTAAATTGACACTGGTTGAGCTCTAGAACCAAGCAGAAAACAACTGTTTGTGTGGAAGCCTGTTTCCCATTAGAACATACTGTAAAGATACCCCCCCCCCCGTGCCCCCCCCCCCCCCCACTTCTAAAGTGAAAATTACGTCCATGAATGCGTGCATGTCCTAAACCCGCGGATCCACGCAGGGTCGTGGGGGGCTGGTGCTCATCTCCAGCGGTCTCTGGGCAAGCAGGCGGGGACGGGTACACCCTGCAGGTTGCCAGTCCATCACAGGGCAACACAGAGAACACACTCTCCCCCTGACTCATATTTGTGGGAGGGACCCGGAGTACCTGGAGAAGGAGAACATGCGAACTGCACGCAGAAAGAGCCCAGGCCGGGATGTGAACCCAGGACCTTGTTCCTGGAAGAAAACATCCCTAACCACTGTGCAGCTCGTGCATGAATCCCTCTTTCATGTACTTTGATTTTGCTTCCAACACAATAAATATTCTGAAGGTCTTCAAGTATCAGTTCTGGACTGGTACCAGAACTTTTCTACTATATTTATTCATTAGTTTCATAAACTCAGAGATAATTCAGTTTATGCAAAACATAGTAAAAAAATAATAAAACAATCTGGATCGCTGCTGGTTAAATAATTTACGGCTACCTTTGATCTCATTTGGCTCCTCATACACAATAAAAAAGGTGGTAAAATGTTAAAAGCATTTATTTAGGAAACATAAAACAAATAAATGTTTAAATAGAACCTACATTTATAATTTTATCTAAATATTCATAATGTTAAAATTTGGGCCTGATTTACAAATCAGTAAATTCAGATTTGAATTCAAATATTTGGACTTGGAACTAAATATTTCTGTCACACGTTTACATTTTATTCTGAACATTTATTTTAACTTAAATGTTCGACAACTACAGCTGGAGGTTTTCCAAACGGCGCCCCATAGAACGTTAAATGCAGCATTTTAACAAAGCCAGAATCACGAGTTGGTTTTTGTTTGATTTGCATTTGAAAACTTGTAAATCAAACATTTAGTGGAATTAAAACGAACACAGACTCCAATAAAATAATTATGTAACAGACCCTAATTAAAAACAAGTTTGAACAATAAAGTTTGATTTTAATTCATTTCCTTTAGTTAAATCTGAGCGTCAAGAATTTAAATGAGCCACATCTGCTCCGAGTTTGGGTTTGAGTCGCCAGCCAGCAGCTTCACAAACATCTAGCCCGGAGCAGAAAGGAGAACTCTGTCCGCCCGGCGCACCTGTCCGCAGGTAAGACTTCTACCTTTTACTGCGTCAACACTCAAACACGAGTCTGCTTCCTTACCGAGACGGCGACAGAAACGCGTTTCTCTGCGGTTTTGCTGTCCGGTAAACTCATCTTGTTCTCGTTGAGTCCAGGTGGGGCGAAGAGCTGGGCAGGTAGCAGCCAGGGGGCGGGGCTTAACCCGGACCTTAAAGGAATGGTTCGTTCCGGTGTCATCTAATTAAAGATCGAATTTAGCACACCAAGTTATAAAATTAAACCTAAAATATTTATATATGAACAAATAACTGAAAAAAGAATGATGGAAATTATATTGAGAGCTGCCACGGGCTCTTATTTTGAAAGTACAACAGGAACTCCTCCTCGGTAGACACCACGTGACTTCCATGACCACATTTCGAGCACAGACACCTTCCATAAGTCCGGCATTAATGTGTTAAATTGTATTTATAAGAATTAGCGAAACCAAACAGGAAGTCTTCATCTTATTTAACCAGGAAGTTCCCGCTGAGATAAAAACCTCGTCTTCAACGGAGTCCTGGCCAAGAGCCAGCATTCCAGAGGCTGTAAAAATAAACAAAACAACACGAACAGGTGTATTTTCCAGATTTTATTGTTTTTGTACACAAAATCTTCAGTCCATCCAGCAGAACGACTCAAGACCTGGAAAACAGACAAACGACGTGTTAAACATGTCCGAGTTCATGGGTTTGAAGTGATGAATGACTCTGGTCCAATCATTTTTGCTGCTGCTCTCTCATCTAGAACATCTCAGAGCTGACCAAACCCTTCTCAGACAAATGCCTCAATGTCTTCAACTGAAGAGGCCTCGCTGTTCTGGAGGACTGGAGCAGGACCACAGAACGTGAACCTGAACCAGGAGCCACCAGAACCAGACCGAGACCCGTTCCGACTCGTCATCGTCTCATCACTGAAGGGACAGAAGCCACTGGCCACTAGGGATGGGTACCTTTGACATTTGAATCGATACCGGTACTTAACGGTACCGATTTTAGATACTTTTGAGTGTTGAATAATTTAATTCTCTTTTATAATTAAATATATATTTTTCTCAATTTATAACCATATTTGATAAATATCATGATAAATAACATACAACTGTTTGTATTTTAACATCGTCCTTGTAGTTTTATAAGCTGATAATTAAACTGAAGCAAACATCTTTACTGTGAACTAAATTTACTGTGTATCTTCATTCCTTTTGCCGTCCTTTTTCATTTGATTTTTCCTACTGGGAAATTAGAATTTCCGAGGAGAAAGCGAACGCACCATTAGCTGATAACAATGGTGGCAATGGAAGCTAACATATCAAGCTAACGTTATCTTAAACAGTTTATTTAGCTGCTGGAGCAGATTAAAACGATGATGCCTCACACTTAGATCGTTGTCGCTGGTTTCATCTTCACCCAATCACCCGCCGCATTTAGTGAAGTGGACCCAAGCTTTAGCGCGTTCTTTCTACCATGCTGCTCTGTTTACAACTGGCTCGCAGCGACCGACGACATAACGCTCTTACGCATGTGCAGCTGTCTTGGCAAGTTCTCGTTATGAAGGACGGGTACCGAAACGAGGCACCTTTTCAAATGACGTGAATCGGTGCTCAGTCGGTACCTTTAAAAAGTACCAAATTCGGAACCCATCCCTACTGGCCACCCGGCTTTAGACGCCAGTGTGACCTTTGGAGCTGCTACAGAAAACGATCACCTGGACTTAAACGATCTGAAGCATCAGCCTCATCTACAGACATCAGATGTTTGTTGTAGAAAGACGTGAGCAGAGTATCTCACCCTCTATGCGGTGGGAACAGGTGCTCCCTGGGGCATGACGGGCACCTCGGGCTTGCACACGGCCCCCTTCTGCTCAGACGTGGGTGTGCTGGGCAGGTGCTCCTCTTTTGGCTCTACGATGCTGACGTGGTCAGGCAGGGGCTTCTTGGGGCCAATCTTACCAGTGGGGTCCCACGGCAGCATGATCTTCACCTTGATGCCCAGCACACCTGAGGAGAACCAACAGGAGCATCAGTTTCTGGTTCACCGGGATGTGGACGTGCAGCCGGAGCCAGAGGGACTCACCCTGCCTCAGCAGCACGTGGCGGACAGCTGTGTCGACATAGTAGTTGACGGGGTCTCCGCTGTGGATCATCAGGCCGTCCACAAACTTCATGGACTTGGCCCTCTGACCCCTCAGCTTACCGGAAACCACGACCTCGCACCCCTTAGCGCCGCTCTCCATGATGAACCTCAACACGCCATAGCAGGCCCTGAAAGAGGAGAAAGGTTAGACCGTTCCTGCAAGAGAACGACGTGAAAATCCGACGACACCATTTTAAATGTAAGCAACGGAGCACAGACCCTATTCATTCAAACCCTTCTCAGACAAATGCCTCAATGTCTTCAACTGAAGAGGCCTCGCTGTTCTGGAGGACCGGAGCAGGACCACAGAACGTGGACCTGAACCAGGAGCCACCAGAACCAGACCGAGACCCGTTCCGACTCGTCATCGTCTCATCACTGAAGGGACACGAAAACTCAAACCCGCTGAAACCCGCATCACCAGAGTGAGACCATTCTAACCTTGTAGGCCAGAAATTAACACTTCAACAGGAATAAAGCAGATTCGTGTGCATTTTTTAAACTAACCAGACGAAACACACCTTTGAGATGATCAGAGACGCAGATTAAGCAGGCGAGTGTTAACGCTCACCTCCTCACAGCCAGACCTCCCAGCAGCTTGTAGCGCAGAGACTCAGCCTGAGCGATGGCACACAGGCCGCGAGTGGCCACCTTCTCAGCATAAAGCTGAAAGAGAAGAAACATTAAAGAGGCGTGAATAAAAACACGCCGGGAAGCAAACAGACATGGTTAATGTTAGGACCATCTGCCTCCAGGTTTCAGAAAATCAAACTCTCCTTCTTCCCTTCTCAAAAGACGTTTGACTTCATGTTAGGACTTCCTGGTCTGAGGAACCAGAGCAGAACCACAGAACGTGGTACCAAACCAGTCACCGTCAGAACCAGGCTGAGTCTCGCTCCGTCTCGTCATCGTATCATCACTGAAGGGAAACCTGATGGCTGACTTTAAAAGCCCAGATCTTAGGGAGCCTTTTCTTCTGAACCGTGAGCAGCAGATTGAGTCTTACGCAGGTGAGTGAAACCTTTCTGACCGTCCTACCTCGACGCTGCCCTCAGGGAAGCCGAACCTCTTCTGGACCACAGCGGTCAGCTCTCTGATCCGACGGCCCTTCTCTCCCAGAACATTCTGGGTCCTACAGGGAGAGAAGAACATGTTTTAATCAGCCAGGAGTTGTTTTTACACAGCGGTGCATCATTACTTCCTGTTCAGTGTCATGGGAGCAGGTGTCTATCCACAGCAATCCCTGGGCAACACGCGAGGTTACCTGGACAGGCAACGACTCCATCACAAGACTTCTGAAGCATCCAGGTTGTAGTGACGTTAAGGGTCGTGCTACACGCTGAGCAAGCCCGTTGAAGTGTTAAGAGTGCTGACTCGTTAACGCATCCACTGCCAGCCGTTTCCTGATCGCTAAAGGCCTTCGCTGCCGGCGTTTCTCGCCGTTTTTTTTTAAAGAGTCACAGAACTTTGCGCGCTAGGATGATGTCGACGCCAAAACAACCAAAACAAAACAGAGACTCACCTCTTACATCAGGAAGAATCCGCGCGCTTCGAGCGTTATCCGTTCTTTCATAATCCGTTGTTGAATTGTGATCGGCAGAAGCTTTTCCGGTTCGCGCCTCACTTTTTTAACAGCAGCGGCCCAAAACGATCTCCTAACACATGGATGTTCTGCTACGTGATCACGTGACCTGTGACGTATGCGGATGAAGATCAGCTTCAGAGCTGAGATGTTTGTTCTCATGGTGCGGGGGCTCGTCCGACGCCCAAACAGTAAAAAAAAAATGCAAATGACGACTTTAGTCTTTAGACTTTGAACGAGTTAAGTGGTAACGGCATATCTGACCTGCTTAAGCCTCCCACTGCCCTAATGGGTGTGACCCCGCGAGGGAAGTTGACCGTTGAGCAGGGTTGATGGTTTATCCCTTGGGTCCATGTGGTAGGGGTGAGGAGAGAGCACCACCTCACCCCTACCACATGGACCTCAAGAGATAAACCATCAGTCCTGCTCAATGGTCAACTTCCCTCGCGGGGTCACACCCATTAGGGCAGTGGGAGGGTTAACCCACACGTGCCAAACGCGGTTACTCCGTACATCCACTATGAGACATAAGAGGAAGCTGCTCCTGTACTTTAGAAGATCTGCCCACCACCACCCAGACTCAAAACCCACGTTTATGATCGGGCTTTTAAATCATGACACAGAAATGGGTTCATTTGAGCTTTTAGTACTCTTATTGATATTTAGAGAATCACGACACTAGTGTGTAATATTTCAGTTCTCAGTGTGTTTTTATCTGTATTACCTTATCTGGTGTCATTGTCTTAACCAGCTGATTGGACGCCTCGTTTTATTTGACGTATCCAACGATGTGCTGGCTTGTTGGCTGCGTATATTTACCGTATCACCCATGAGGCGCTTTAGTCAGCTCACATGCTGGTTTTAAATGCGCGTGATAAATAAAGTGGTATAGTAATGGGGCGTCTGTGGCTCGATGGGTAGAGCTGTTTGTTGATCCCGCACCACATTCATCTGGATTAGTGGCCTAGTGGTATGAACATCTGCCCCGAGACGGGGAGATCGTTGATTCAATTCCACAGCTGGTCATATTAAAGGCTTTAAAAATGGCTCCCTGCATGACACTAAGCATTAAGGGGTTCGATTGGGGAGTTACCAAGTGGCTAGATGACAACAGAACAATAAAAATCAAACAAAAGAGGCAGAATAAGGAATATGCCTTCTTATAAAGCCCAATCTAAAATCACACCAACTGAATGCCGCCGCTCAACTCACCTAGTGGCCAGGATGATGATCTCTGTCCTGGTTGGAGTCACGCGCACCTCCACACCTGAATATCCATCCTCAGCCAACTCACGAGTCAGAAACTCGTTCAGCTCGGCCTTGAAGATACCGTCTGCTACGAACTAGACAGATCAGAAGCATGACCCATCATTACTACCAAGAGAAACAAGAGCCAGTAGCAGAAACCTGAAACAGTTATTTAAATAGCACACATCTGACACAGGATCACAAAGTTCTTCACACGGAACAAAATCAAATAAAACGATGATCTCAAAGAAGAAATAGATCAACATCAGGAAAAGAACATTTAAGTGCTAGAAACCTTTTGCACAGCTTGGTGTTATTAAAATCTACTCACTACATTAAAGTTCTGAGTCCAGTTTACTTTCACCAGAATAGTTTAGACGATCACTCCAGATTACGGGTTATCGGACAGTAGCCGACCCTAGAAATGCTGAGCAGCAACACTAAAACGCAACGACAGTTGAGCTAAAGAATTAATCATATTAACGAATAAACTCAGATTTTAGGACTTATCAAACTCCCACGCACCACTTTGAGACACGTGCACACAGCTTGATAAAAAAGTACGATTCAAAGTCTTTATTTTGCGTTTTTATTGCCGTTAATACCAAAGCGTCGGTAGTCTTTAACGAGTTAGCTTGGTTGTCTCCGTTAGCAGCTAGCTAACATGCTAAACAACCGAACCCACGTTTCAGAACCTTTGATTTAATGTTTTATAGTTTCACGGCGTCCACCCGACGTTAACACCGGAGCTCGAGCCGGTTAAGCAGCTCTTCCTGTGGCCCCGGCGGTCAGAGCCATGCTAGCTAACGAAGAGAGGAGGGCGCGGAACCACCACAATCGAGATCAATCCTCCCCGAACCGGAGGAGGACGGGTTCATCTGACCACGAGACAAGCACGGGGCAGTTCTGTCCCATCTGAAAGGGACATATTTCCACATGGGTCCACTGTCCGTGCGAATAAAAGCGGGATTTAACACTGCTAACCTTCCTCTTCTTGGAGATTTGCACCGCCATCTTCCAAAAGGCCGTAGACAGGAAAGGACCCTGCAAGGAGGCGGAAATGCCTTTATACTGAAAGGTAACATTTCCGGTGACGTAAATTCTAATGTAACACAGGGAAATGTAGTTTTTTTTAAATGTGTCCTTAAGCTTTATTTTCGCTGTTAATAACGGATTGATTATTTCAGAACTGCATTGAAAATCATATTAATCACAAGTCTTAGTTTATATTTGTGTTTTATCATCGATTCTGTTCATAACTTTTATGGGCAGGATTTTTTAGGCGCAGCGTGTTGAGGGGATCTGTTTTGGCGAGGGTCGAGTCTCTGCTTTTGGCAGCTGATGTGGTCCTGTTGGCTTCATCAGAGCGTGATCTCCAGCTTTTGCGGTTCGCAGCCGAGTGTGAAGCAGCTGGGATGAGAATCAGCTCCTCTAAATCCAAGACCATGGTCTAGAGCCGGAAAATGGTTGAATGCCTTCTCCAGGTCAGGGATGAGGTCCTGCACCAAGTGGAGGAGTTTATCTGAGGGTCTTGTTTACGAGTGAGGGAAAGATGGAGCGTGAGATCGACAGGTGGATTGGTGCTGCATCTGCAGTGATGCGGGCGTTGTACCGGTCTGTCGTGGTGAAGAGAGAGCTGAGCCGGAAGGTAAAGCTCCCGATTTACCAGATGATCTACGTTCCTACCCTCACCTATGGTCATGAGCTCTGGGTAGAGACCGAAAGAACAAGATCATGGATACAAGCGGCCGAAATGAGTTTTCTCTGCAGGGTGGCTGGGCTCTTCCTTAGAGATAGGGTGAGAAGATTGGTCATCTGGGAGGGGCTCGGAGTAGAATCGCTGCACCTCCACATCAATCAATCAATCAATCAATCAATCAATCAAAGCTTTTTTTATAAAGCGCCTTCCGCAACCCTGTCAGGAAGCCCAAGGCGCTGAAGAGCCAGTTGAGGTGGCTCAGGCATCTGGTCAGGATGCCTCTGGACGCCTCCCTGGTGAGGTTTTCCAGGTACGTCCAACCGGGAGGAGACCTAAAGGAAGACCCAGGACACGCTAGAGGGACTATGTCTCTCACCTGGCCAGGGAACGCCTGGGGATTCCTCCAGAGGAGCTGGTCCAAGTGGCTGGGAGAGGGAAGTCTGGGCCTCTCTGCTTATGCTGCTACCCCCACGACCCGACTCGGGATAAGCGGATGAAAATGGATGGATGAATGTTTTTGGCTTTCCAGCTGAAAATAATACTGTAATAATGTGACCACTTTAAACGTTTATTGCTGAAACACAATAAATCATGGGTTTTGAACTTTTTTATTGTTAAAACAAGATAAATTTTGTTTTCATCACAGAATTTTATTAAACAAACATGGTAATTGAGTGGTTGATTTTTGTTACTTTTTGGCTCATAAAGACCAATTCATATTTGTGTGTGTGTGTGTGTGTGTATAGCCCGATTATGTCTCATAATTAGAGTATGCACACACACACACACACACACACACACACACACACACACACACACACACACGCGCGTGTGTGTGTACTCTATGTGACATATACAGACATTGTCTTCAGACAGGAAACACTCCAAGAACCAGGGGTGGATTTAGGGCTGAAAAAGATCCGGGGCTTAACACACATGCGCGCTCACACACACACGTAACACGCACTAGTCTTTTCATAAAACATTCGGGGCTTGAGCCCAAGTAGCCGGGCCTAAGGTCAGATGTTTCAGAACAGTTTAGTCTTCATGTTTTACTGAAACCTAACGTAACAGAAAATAAACAACAACTAAAAAAGTCAAAACATAATCAGCTGAATCGTTAAATTAAAAGTTGTTATGGTTTTTGAGTAGTTCACACAACGTCCACTAGATGGCACTTGTTCAACATTTACTCCCAAGAAATGTTTTCTGATGGCTCCAAGATTGAGAAACTTCATCCATTCATCTCTGGCCAAGCAGGCAGGGTGCACCCTTGCCAGTCCGTCGCTGGGCAACACAGAAACACACACGGGCCAAACAATCACACACACACACACACACACACACACACAACACACACACACACACACACACACACGTTGCACAGGAGAACATACAAACCCCATGCAGAAGTACCCCAGGTCAAGATCTGATCCCGGGCCCTTCTTGTTGCCAGGCAACAGCACTAGCCACTGCGTCACCTTGCAGCCCACGACGGAGAGACTTAATAAAGACATGTGTGTGTGTGTGACAGACTGGAATCATGCAAACAAACAAAAAAAAAGGGGGTTCTTTGAAGTACAAAATATTTTTTCACTGATAAATTTATTTTCTGAATCAAATGCTGCAAATATATCTTTATTGACAGAAATAAACAACAAACAAACACAACAACAGCTGATAGGTTAAATAAGAAGTGAATGATCGTAGTAACAGCAGCTTCAAACCACTCAGACTGTTTCTTCACGACGCTTTTCGGACGGTTTTTGTTAAGATTCAGAACTTTGACATGACAGCTACGTATTTTTGCCGATTTTCACTCAACTGTGCTGTTGGTGTAAAACATGATCCTCAGAGAAACTGTCTGAAAATATTCCAGCTCACGTTTTTAGATTTCAGCTTCTGCGGTAAACCTGTCAGAAACGAGACGACTTGTTTATTTATTACACGCTGAGAGCAGTGGGCCACGGTTCCTCTCAGCAGCAGTTACTGGCCTCCGACGTCTGTTTCTCTCCTCCGAGCCACAGAGGAGCGCTGTTGATCTTCTGGGCCTTGGCTTGTGAGGCCTCACCCCGCATGCCCCCTCCCTCGCTGGCCAGACGCTTGTGGATCTCTGAGGCCATGGTGAGGAACGCCTTCTCCACGTTGTCAGAGCTCTTAGCGCTCGTCTCCAGGAAGGGGATCTTCAGAGACGAGGCCAGGTCCTGAGAGTCAGAGGAGGCTTGAGAGGTTTTTATGTTGAATTTACTAATAAAACATGTAAAAACTGGGAATGAAAGGGGACTGTAGGAAAGAGAGATGAACACAATAGAAAAATCTGGTTTATTCTGTAAAATCCACCAACTGTTTAGGGCAGGGGTGTCCAATCCTGGTCCTCGAGGGCCGGTATCCAGCACGTTTTCATTTTAACCTGCTTCAACACACCTGATTTCAATCAGCAGGTGATTAACAGGCTTCTGCAGAGCCTGATGAGCTGCTGCACAGGTGATTCAACCAGCTAATCAAGCACGTTGAAGCAGAAAAACCACAAAACCTGCTGGTTACCGGCCCTCCAGGACCAGGATTGGACAGCCCTGGTTTAGGGTATGTGACAGAAATAAACAGTGGTTGTTATACCCAAGATGACAGCAGTGGTGAACTTCATGAAGATTGTGAAAAGCTAAAGTCTTTTAAGACTCGAGTCAGAATCTCACGGCTTCAGCTGCTGAGTGTGTGTTGGCGTGTGTTCCCAGTTTCTCCAGCTTCTCCGTCTGCGTCAGTGCGCAGACACGCAACGCCATTATCCGTCCTTGCGGGCCTGCTGGAGAGCTCTGCGAGGACGCACGGAGTCGAGCTCTCTTTTCTAAACATCCGTCCATCAAGACGGAGAACGCAGGTCAGGACGCCGCTGTCGTCTACACCTCCACCATTGCGCCCTCAAAACCATAAAGAGAGCCGAGGATAACAAGCGGCAGACACGGAGAAGCTTGAAGAATACCTCGCCAAAAAACTCTAAAAACATGAACGTTTAATTCTCCCGTGACTGGAGGAGTGAAAAGATGCGCAGCAAGCGTTTTATTTGTGGACGGAAATGACAGGAAACGTGGGTTTAGAGGTGGCGAGCGCATGAAGAGGTGGAGGAGGATGAGAGACAAATTTGTCTGTGTTAAAAGTCTCTTATAGAGCTCCGGGAGTTGACGTCACTTCTCCCGGCATGCAACAGTTCAAATCGAAACGGCGCCATATTGGCAGGCAGAAGCCGGCAGCTGGACTATTTGTTATTGTCAGAAAACTCAATCAAACGGGAAATATGGTAGATTCCTGTTGTGCCCCAGGATGCAGAACAGACATGGACGACGTAAGGAATGAGCCTTCTACAGGATTCCCAAAGATCCAGAGCGCCGGAAACGTTGGATCATTATAATAAAACGCGCTAGTGACCGGGCTAAAATGAAGCTGTGGGATCCCGAGAGTAAAGGTTCTCGCTTATGCAGCGACCGCTTCATATCAGGTACTTGAACCAACGTTTCCTCAACTGTGTATGGTGTTTATTTTAAATGCTTTTATTATGATTCTTAGTGGGCTTCCTAAACTTATTTTGGCGGGGCTTTTTCTGTCTTATTACTCACAGCAACAAGTAAACGTCACGTAAAACGTTGCCTCGTGAGTTCTGCGTGCTGCCGTTTACGTGTTTTATGATCACAGCAACTAACCGGCTAAGCTGTATTTCATTTTTAAGCAATGGTTGATCAATTGTCAGATCACACATAAAAAGCACTTTGGATTGCTGTTATCTGTCTCACCGAGACAGATCTCAGACAGATCCTGAGACGCTCCTGCCTGACATTTTTATTTTATTCACGGAAAAAACAATTAAACTAGTGATTTCTCTTGGCGTTCAGTTTATACATTCAAACAGCACAGCACTCTATTTAAACTTCTTACATGTAAATCTGTTATTTGTCCATCCATCCATCCATCCATCCATCCATCCATCCATCCATCCATTTTCATCCGCTTATCCGGAGTCGGGTTGCGGGGGCAGTAGCGTCTAGAGGCCCAGACTTCCCTCTCCCCAACCACTTGGGCCAGCTCCTCCGGGGGAATCCCAAGGGGTTACCCGGCCAGGTCCGGTAAGAAGTCCGCTCCGACAGCTTCTGGCATTTTTAAAAAGTATCCCAGGGGCACGGTAAGGGTCGGAGATGTTTAGTCTATTTAATTTCTGACTATATAAAACGATTTCTTCGGTTTTCAAGTGTGAAGTAAACTCTGACGAAGTAAAATCCAAGCCGATACCGTTCATTTTGTTTACCTTTGTTGCCTGCCAACATGGCGTCTACTCTCTGAGAGTCACGTGACGTCCGGAGCTCTATAGACAAAAAACACAACATAAACACACCATCTTGGACCGATACATGACAGGATACCACAGAACAGCACTACGCCCTCTGCTGTCCTGCCGGGGAATTGCTTTGCAACACTCCCCAGGAGACGGAGAAGTATGAGAGCAAAACGCTTCCGTCAATCCGTGCGTGTCTGTCCCTTGATGAGCTGACGGAGAAGCATGAATCAGGGTGTTAACACGGACCCGTCCTTTTGGGAGGGGTGGGCAAAGGACACCCCGCTGTTATTGAACCAGGAATAAAAACAAACAAGAGTCTGATGTTCCAAAACAGCAAATCAAATCCGGATTTGTGACTAAATTAGGACCTGATTTGGTGACAAAAGGACATTTGCAGCTTTCACATCATCTAAACGACCCGTTGGCGTTAAAATGTCTGATGTCAGAAAATGTCTGACAACTTTTCCTCCAACAGTAGCTGCTTCTGGGTTTGGGTTGAAAGCCAGAGTCTGACTGGGCTACGGGAGCCTTCACCCTTCATCCTTTTGGTTTCTGTGAGTCGGGAAAGGTGAGGAACACGAGGAGATGTGAGCAGAGGGCGTCTTCCTGCATCTGAGGTGGAGCATCTCTGACTAAAGGGATGACTAAAGCACCTTCAGCTGTTTGGAGGAACTGTTCTCACCTGAGCCGAGGCAGCGTCCACCACCTTCTTACTGACGAGGTCCGACTTGTTTCCCACCAGCAGCCTGGAGACGTTTTCACAGGCGTAGCGGTCGATCTCATCCAGCCACTGCTTCACGTTGTTGAAGGACTCCTGAGGGGAGGAACTCTGAGGTTACCCTCCAAACCCTCGTCTGGCTCATTTAGACGTTGATGATGGACCTGAGGTGACCTGTTCAGTGACGTCGTACACGATAATGATGCCGTGTGCTCCTCTGTAGTAGCTGGAGGTGATGGTTCGGAATCGTTCCTGACCTGCCGTGTCCCACTGAGGAAGTTCACACAAAATGTAAGAAAGGATGAGAGGTGAGTGGAAAATTCAGATGAGTTCAGTCCTGAGTTGTTGGAAGTAGTTAACTGGAACTGCAGCCGAGTTTAGTTTCAGCTTTTATAGGGTTCGGTTGGACTTTTTATTCTATATTCCTGAAGAAAAACAGATTTCCTGCAGGAATTCTCTCTTCCTGACGCCATGATGGAGGGGAGTCAGACCAACCGATCGTGGATCTGACTTGTTCGTGAGCAGGATGCTGCTCCGGTCGGCTGTGGCGAAGACAAAAGGTAAAGTTCCTGATTTTCTGGCCAGATCTGGATCAAAGAATGAAAACCAGGAAGTGGCTGAAATGAGCTCCAAGCCTCAGAGATCAGCAGAGGAGCTTCATCCTCTTGGGGGTAACTTGGAGCAGAGCCGCTGCTCCTCCTTATCAAACGGCGTCTGCTCGGGGATCTGAGTAGAAGGCCTCCCTCTGGAGATTTTCCAGACCTTGGATGGAGACCCCAGGGCAGATCCAGAACCTGCTGGAGGGATTGATTATCTTATCTCGCCTGGGAACACCTGTTGATCCTCCAGGAGGATCTGGAGGTGAGGAGAGAGATACTCGAGTTCCCGTCCTGGACTGTTTTCTCTGTGAATTCATGATCGTGTGGACTTTGTTTCAGCTCTTGTTGAACCCTGACCCTAACCTTGCTGTGAAACAAGAACTCACTTCCCATCATTCCCGTGAACTTACAATCTGCAGCTTCACAGTCTTCCCGTCCATGTCGACGGTCCTGATCTTGAAGTCCACTCCAATGGTTGAGATGTAGCTCTCGGTGTAGGTGTCATCCTGCACCAAGTGGTAGTGTTAGGCTTCATAATGCGTGCATTTGTGTTCTTATCTATGCTCGGGCAGGTTTTAAGCACCCATACCGCAAAGCGCAGCAGCAGGCACGACTTCCCAACTCCAGAGTCACCGATGAGAAGAAGCTTGAACAGGTAGTCGCTGACGAGACACAAACAAGAGGCCTTAAAGTGAGCTCTTTGTAAATATAAACGCTTTTCATTCCACTCTCATCATGCT